CTCTTGACCCGCCCAGTTGACTTTCAATTTCCTGTTGGCTTCATGGTTGCATAGGTGGAAAGCACACACTTGTGTCTTGGCAGGGTTAGGCTTCAGATGACTATCTTTGGAGTACCTGGAGAGATCTTTCAAGGCATTAGTAAGTTGGATTTCAACTGTTTCAAAGTATTTTGCTTGTGTTGTTAGGCCAAGGTCATCAGCATATATCAAGCTCTTTGTGAGTGGTGGTTGTGGCTGATTGTTAGTAAAGATATTAAACAAGGCCAGTTAGTAAAGAAATTAAACAAGGTAATTTCTCATTACACTCTTATGACTGTAGTTGACACACTAACATGTTGCGACACACAGTTTGGAAAGCTTTTCCAGGATTCTTCATGGATACTAAAAAATGTGCATGCTCAAGTCCTGATTGAGTAGCAGCAGAGGCTGAACCAAGCTTTGGCTGCCAGGTGTCCCACATTTTTCAGGCTCCAGGAATGTTCAAGTAGCTACTTCTGTCTTTGAGATGCAAGGCAGATGCAGGAGGCTGACAAGCTCCTGATGGTGGGGAGCCTGCCTGAAGAATATGGTGCACCTGGTAGCAGGGCCGGCCCGTCCATTACTCGAAGTAAGCGGTCGCGGAATACTTTTTTTGCCAGGGGGCGCTGTTTTGTCCTTAGGCCACGCCTCCTCCTGCAGGCCCCATGCGCCCTCAACAGCCTTCTAATGGAGAAGCGCAGGCCCGCCCACTACGCGATAAAAAACATATCCAAAACTAAAAACTGCAGCAGACCCTGACTTGATCTTTAAAACCTTTTAAAGCCTGCATTAGATTACCAAATGTAATGTCCCTTTATTGTTGTTCATTCGTTCAGTCGTCTCCGACTCTTCGTGACCTCATGGACCAGCCTACGCCAGAGCTCCCTGTCGGCCGTTACCACCCCCAGCTCCCTCAAGGTCAGTCCAGTCACTTCAAGGATGCCATACAATGTCCCTTTATACACACTGCTTTATATTAATTTCCCTTTATCTGATTTGTCATCAACACACTTAATGGACTGCAAAAATATGATCCTGTGTGATTCCTTTCCATTTCCAAGTCGCCCAGTCCTCTGTGTGCCCAGGGGGGAGTCTCTCATCTGGTATCAGCCATGGGCTGAGGTGCTGGGTTTGAGCCTGCCACTTTTGGACTCTCGCTTGCTGAGGTGTTCCAGCGAGTGTCTCTGTAGATCTTAGAAAACTTATAAAAACGTATTTAAGATCAACTTTGAGTCAAGAGCGCTTGAGTGGACTAGCAACCTTGGCCATTGAAAATGGCTTGTTGGATGAAATGGAAACAGATATAATAGTACACGAGTTTTCAAAATTGAAAGCCAGAAAAATCTCTTTTTAATTTTAAAAGTGTTCAAGTTTATTTGTGTTAAGGAAAACTGGATGTTAAAGTATCCACTAAAGTGAAGGGGCCAGAGGCTGACTACGTTGCCACACCCATTGTAATGGTCCAGGCTGGCATGGCACTTTTGAAGGACAAGAGTTCACTTTCTTAAAAAGGAGGTGTCTATTCTCCTGGGGCTGCGTTCTCCAAAACAAATCTGATTGACAGACCCAACAAGCATGGGATTGAGTCCTCTGTTATTAGCAAACCCCTAGTCTGAAAAATCTTCTCTGAAGAGACAGCATGACCAGGAAACCTTTGTGTAGTACTTGTAGACCAAAAATAACAACAAAAACTTAAAATTGTTGCTAAGTTTAGTAAAATATTTGCATTCTTAAAAAAGTTAATTTGTGTAATGTAACTATATAAACATAATGTTGTAAGTAAATTTCTGGTTTGTAAGGTAACTCTTTTATTCACCTCTACCTTCTACGTTTTATTTTTCAGTGATTGGTTGGGGGGAGGGGGCGCCAAAATAATGTTTGCTTACCATTGAAAATTACCTAGGGCCGGCCCTGCCTGGTAGCTGTTGCCACCACCTCCACTGCTTTCCTGCACCGCTTTTAATAAGGACTTACAAACCTCACCTTGCCTTGTGATCGCAGTCTCCTTGCAAGTTCATTGACAAGTCTCACTAGCTGCCAGTTTTTGCCTTGAAATGGAATCTCACTGCCTCAAAGACAGATGCAGGCTGCTTGCATGCTCCCTACCATGGATTCAAATGTATATAGTGTACATTTGAATCTGTGGTGGGTTGAATCAGCAGATCATGAGCCCGTGTATACAACAAGCCCTCTGTATGCCCAAACGATGATAGCTTCTGTTTAGTCAATTTAGTTTCTATGGAGAGTTCAGAGTAGATCTGATGTAGGACCCATTTATTTGTCTTTGTGGTGATGTATGGTATTAATAACTTTCCCTTCAGCACCATGCTTTGAATGAGCTGTATTTTTCTTAACTTACATTTTTCAGCTCTCACATCTGTATATAGAAATTGCAAACATAATGGTATGGATGAGCCTGACTTGGTGTTCATTACTATATCATTGCTCTTGAGAAAGTAATATACTTTGCCATTTTAAAGTTTCCATTCCATAAGACAGGCAAGTCTCAAATGTACAATAAAGTACCACTGCTTTGTGCAGTTTGGAAAAAAATGAGAATTTGATGGAATAGCTTAGAGAGTGTTCTATAATGTAACAAACGGTATATAGAAAACATTATCCTTACGAGCTGGTCATGAAACCACTTTGGTGAAGAAAAGTCTGAGGACTCGCACACTTTTCTGCTATTTCATTAGTTAGAATGTAAGATATTAACTAAATATGTGTGATGATCATTTTTTAAATATAGAAAATTCAGCCAAGGTAATATTTTCCAATTAACTTATTGTTTTTACTGGTTTTAACAATATAAACTCATTGATGTACTTTTTAAAAAGTGAATGGGAGATATCAGTTGTGATAGTGACTCATCATGCTCTGGAACATCTTTCAAATGTCTGTTGGAAGAGCTATAATTTGCATAAGTTGAATATTCATTGAGCTCTGGACTACATATCAAAATTCATAGAATTAGTCACTTCTGAGCTCTACTTTTGTGAGATGGAAAATCTGTTAATACCCTAATTTTTTCTCTCATTCTGGAAGCTAAGCTGGATCAGCCTTGGGTAGTACTTGGATGGGCTAATACCAATGAATACCAGGTCTGAAGGCTGTATTTCATAGGAAAGAACTGGCAAAACCATCTCTAAGTATTCAATGTCTAAGAAAACCCTATGAAAAATGTATGAGATCACCATAGGTCGACAGGTGACTTGAAGGCACATAAACATAAAACCTGTTACCTGAGGTGGACACTCCATCTAGTCTAATGCTAGATCTCATCTAGCTTGTGGTCCACGTGTCTCTCTTTCCAGTGAATGAAGTAACTGAAATTTAGTGGTAAATTTAATAAATTTAAGGAAGGACATATTTGGTCATAATGACAAAAACAGTACATGTTTGGTATAATGATGAAGAATCTATAAGACTTATAAATATGTTTCATTCAACAATTATTTTCAGGAACTAGTCCCAAATCCTCAATTCATTGTGGGAGGAGCTACTCGTACAGATATCCGTCAAGGGGCACTGGGTAAGTAGAAGAGCATTACATGTTGCTATGTCTGTGTAGATGGGAAAGGGAAAGAGCTGCAACATCTTCCAATCCAGGGATTGGAAAAACAACTTTTCTAATCTTCTTAAATAGCTGTGTTTGCTGAAGGTTCAGGGAATTGCACTTCAAGCAGCAATTTTTCCAAGCTCAGCACCAAACAATTGTGTGCCATTATCAGAGAGCAAGTGTACAAAGCTGTATGTAAAACAAGTCATATCAGAGGATTCGAGTGAATAATTATTAAAGGACCAACATGAATCCCATGTGTGAAACATCAGCCACATTGCTTATTTTGCAAATGTCTTTGAAATGAAGGCAGTTCTAATCTTCACATTCATCACATGTGAAACACTTTCCTTTCAGAACCTGCACTCTATGTCTAAATTAAAAGTGGTGACAGATTATCCTTAAGACGTCTCTTCATTAAATGCCATTGCTTTATTGGTGGCAAAAGTTAGATGAAATATTAGCTCAGCTAGTGTCAACTGAATTTGAAAGACCGGGCATATTTCACCTTCACTGTGTGAATGACCCCTTTTTAAGGAAAGAAAGAAAGAAAGAAAGAAGGAACACACCAAAAAGCAACACCTCAGTTCCAACTAAAAATATATCACCATGTGCAACAACTTTCAGCGGGATGTGTTTTAAGGGGGAATCTTTGGCGACTCTTTGCATTTGAACATGCATGTTAACTTTGCTATTTTTATCTGCACTAAAGCCTTCAAGAGGCCAATTGTATGGATTTACCTTTAAATGTTATATCACAGCTCTTAGTGTTTGAACTTGATATCTCTTCTCTGCTTAATCCTGAGGCAGCATGGCCAGTGCTAGATTGTATTGTGGAAACTGTAGCTCAAGAAATCTGGTCCAAACTACACACTATAGTTCCTTTTAAAGTATTCCAATACGATAGCTGTATGAACTGGTTCAAATCACACATACACTTTCTAAACTGTTATTTGATCATATGATAATTATTTGTTTTAAGGTGTATGATGTAGTGATTTGGGTGGAGGAAAATTATATTGAGAACATAACACTGTGGAATGATTTAATACCACCCCTCCAAACTTTTCCAGGCAGCCTTTCCTATAGAAGGCAGTCCTAGGCTGGATGTTTTTTTACTTAAGACCAAGCAGTTAAAATATTCACATATGCCATTATCTCCACCTCTTTTTAAAAAATCTGATCTATCTAGGAGACTGCTGGCTTTTGGCAGCCATTGCTTCTCTCACATTGGATCAAGAAATACTAGACCGAGTTGTCCCCAAAGATCAAAGCTTCCAGAAGGACTATGCTGGGATCTTTCATTTCCAGGTATCTTGTCTTCTCTATGTTGTATGTTTTAGTTTTAAAGCTGAATAAAAGGTGAGAGACTAGCCCCAAATGAAGTGTCCTAATTTCCCAATGTGATGCCTTCCAAGTGCAGTTTTTTGACCAGGGGCCACTTTGATCAGGGACCACTTGAACAGGGACCATTTTGACCAGGGACCACTCTCCAACATTAGTACCAAAGGGGTTATGAACCAGTTTTTGGTCAACTTTAGATTCGGTTTGGTTATTTGGGGTGCTGATTCAGAAAATTGCATTAGATAGACCACATCAGCTCTAGTTCCTGATACAGAACATATGCAGTAGTTGCCATCTGCTCACCAACAGAAAACCATATTTAATAATCTAGACCTGATGTAGTATTAGTAATCTTTTGTAGGTAGTCAGCTCTCCCCTCCCAACATTCCCATGGCACTATAAGAGGGTTTCGCAGGACCAGTTGCTCTCATTGCCATGTGGTTTTGAGGCAACGCTGTAGTAATGGTGAAGCTGTGAACTATATTTTTGTTCTTGTAGACCATTGGAGGTTCACAGGCCACAGGTTGGGAACCACTGGTCGAAGTCATCTTATTTCTAGTGGAGAAGAGAACAGCAAGAATACATGCAGAAGATGTTGTTTCTTCCAACAGTTTCTCCACGAAAAAATATTTATTTATTTATTTCATTTCTATCCCACCCTTCTCCCCACAAAGGGGGCTCAGAGTGGCCTCACATAAGCATCAATTATGCTATCAACATATACAATAAAAATTTCAATTAAAACCGTAAAACTCAATTTAAAACATTATACAATACATTAACAAATTCAAATTCATTAACATGGCTATGATCCTATTTTCTTATATCTTGCAATGCTGTACCAAGAGGAGTACTGCACTGATGACTGGTTTATATGGCATTGGTTCTTCTGAGTGCAAAGTAGTACTTTTCTGCCTGTTCTAGGCTGTGTGGTAAAATTCTGTGAATTGTGCCTTCTTTGTTAATAATGATCATACCCAGTTCAAGTAATCTAGTAAAGAAAATTGTAAATCCAGCATTACAGTAAAGAAAATGTAGAATAATTTTCTTCTCTTGATAACTGCTGGTTGTGGGTTGAAAATGGTTTGGCTCCGACTTTAATATGAGCCAACCTAATTTGTACTTCTTGAACAAATATGCAAATAGGAAAATAATTACCCTGTGGCTCCTCCATTTTTCCAAATTTCATCATCTAGTTTTCCGACTTAAAAAAAACACATATGAAAGCTCACTTTAAAATTACGTTATAACAAATTGTGTAATAATACTAAGGTAAACAGAATTTAAAACATATACGGAAAAGGATTTTTAAAAAATGTATTAGGGAAAATAACATACAAAAGTGGATTATATGTATAAAACATTTTCTTGCTGAGTGTTGTTTTTTAAAAAAATGGGAGATGTATGTCTGAGTGAATGTGTCTGAAAATCCATGGATAATAGCAGAAACTAAAATGGACTGGTTGTTCCTTCTTGGCATTTGCTAAACCATTTTTGTTCACAAAATGTTCCCATTCACAAATCTGGCTAGAGGTCTGGGAGTTCAGGTGTGTCAGGTTATTGGCCTCAGAGTGTTCTAGGAGGCACAGAACAAACCAAGCGTTCAGCCTTCATTCAACTTCAGAGCCTTGAAGTGGCACACTTATTGTTACTTTTTAGAAAAACAACAAACGACAAAACATATATACAAGAATATTCACAGACGTGTCTTCCCTGTTCGCTGGACATTGCTGGAAGAAGCCGGAGTTGTTATCTCTACTCTGGAATGCTTGACGCAACAGGAACTGTCCAAAGCTATGCTCTAGGCATAAATCAAAAGCTTCATGCATTTAACCCTTGCACAGCATTACATTTCCACACACAGAGTCTTAAACTGTAAGCCATATTTCATCCCAGTTAAACAACAGTACTAACAGGATCCACCTAGGAACCCAAGTTTGGGAACTAGTGCTGTGTCTTATGTTTCATCTCAGCAGAAATTGCATCCCTATTTTTTCCTCACTCTCAGTCAAATATTCCAGCTTCTTAACTAACCTGACATTGCAAACTTTACCATTATTTGCAAAATAATTTAAAGCATGATGTAAAGGTGGCTAATTTTTTCCTGTGATTTTATTATCTCACCTTTTCTTGAATGTTTTGTTCCCCAAGGTTTTTTTTTTTGTTTAGTCTAATTCTCCTCCATCATCTTTTTTTTTTTTTGGTCAGATCTGGCAATATGGAGAATGGGTGGATGTTGTTGTTGATGACCGGCTCCCCACAAAAAATGGTCAGCTTCTGTTTCTGCACTCTGAAGAAGGGAACGAGTTCTGGAGTGCCCTATTGGAGAAGGCCTATGCCAAGTAAGACATAATTGTATTGTCGAAGGCTTTCATGGCTGGAATCACTGGGTTGTTGTAGGTTTTTTCGGTGTAGAGAATGCCTCTAGAACATGGCCAGAAAAAAAACATATAACAACCCTCTAAGACATAATTAATTGTGACAGAAAGCCCGTTAACAGCTGCTAGCATTCAACCAACCAGTCTGATGCTACTGATGGATCTTCATCACAACATGTTACCGGTGAACCATATCTGTCCAATGGTTTATGAACAAAGTGTCTATTGTGGATCTTTGAGGATGGGCATTTTTCTAATGGCATAAGCTTTCCCAAACTGCGGTCTGCTTCATTAGACTAGTACATACATATCATCCTCCATTATGCCTCTTAGAGAAAAGTATTAGGTAGATAATTTTACTAAATATACCCAATATAATCTGCTCTTTTTAATCTCTATTAGTGTAGGGATGTGGAGAATGTTCTCATGCCCTTTTATTACTCTTCTTCTTTTCCCTTCATTGTAGGTTGAATGGTTCCTATGAGGCTCTTACAGGAGGATCGACTATAGAAGGTTTTGAAGATTTTACTGGTGGCATTGCTGAAGCTTATGACTTGAGGAAAGCTCCATCCAATCTGTATCAAATCATACAAAAGGCCTTACGATCTGGTTCCCTGTTGGGTTGCTCCATTGATGTGAGTTGTTAATGTTTTTATTCATTTTTGCTCTGACGTGTTGTAGAGTAACTTTGGATTAGCATGGGTTTTTCTGCCAGTGAAGTCAATGAGATACTTTCCACTGAGAAAAGGGTTGAACCTGAGGTTAGACGAAACAGGAAGCAGCCTGAGGTCTCACAGCTAGAGACTTTAGTTTGCAGTGTTAATAAAAGTTGCTTCCACATTAGGTGTTTGGTCTGCAATTGACATCCTTGATTTATAGTCCCTTTTTACCGATGTTTGGTGGTTCTACAGAGGAAGAAATCTTTGTGCTACTGATTCCGGTACTTATTCTGGCTTGTTTTTTGTAACAGATGTTCTCATAAGAAAAAAAGATGGAGGGAGAAATGGGAAATGGAAGGGAATGTCTTCTGGAGAGTTCACCTCATCCCTATAAAGTGTAGGTGAATAGAGCAGGGTAACAACATTTATTTATTTATTTACAGTATTTATATTCTGCCCTTCTCACCTCACATGAGACTCAGGGCGGATTACAATGCACATATACATGGCAAACATTCAATGCCATTAGACATACAGCATATATAGACAGACACAGAAGTAATTTAACATTCCAGCTTTTCCGACTTCATCAAGGTATGCTCGATTCCGGTCACAGGGGGCCACTTGTCCTTGTCCTCATTCTTCCTCACGCTGCTGGAAGATTTTATGGTGTTGTAAATTAGTTAAATTAGCCTCCCCACATAAATTTCCTACTTGGCAGATGCAACTTTCTTTTGGGCTGCATAGGTCAACAGCAAGCTAGACTATTAATGGTTGGGAGCTCACTCTGATCCAGGCTGGCTTCGAACTCATGACCTCTCAGTCAGTAGTGATTTAATTAGCTGGCTACTAACTAGCCATGCCACAGCCACCTGTTAAAAATCTACTCTGTAAGCATCCACAGTATCTATCTTACCTATCTGAATGTATCTTCCTTTATGAGCCAGGTACCATTAAGATCGGCTGAGGAGGTCCTTCTCTTAGTCCCGTCACCTTCACAGGTGCGATTGGTGGGACGAGAGACAGGGCCTTCTCAGTGGTGGCCGCTCGGCTGTGGAACTCCCTCTCCAGCAACATCAGATTGGCCCCCTCCCTCCTGGCGTTTAGGAAACTAATGAAAACATGGCTTTTCAAGCAAGCATTCGGGGAGTGAGATGACGCTGTCATGATAACTTTAGGATTGGTGCAATGTTGAATGTTCTATGTTTTATGTATGTTTATGTCTGATGTTTTGTAGTTCACTGGTTTTAATTCATTGTTATATGCTATTTTGGTGATGTGATGTATTTTTTATTTTGTGAGGCATTGAATCTTGCCAAGTACTTGTTGGGAACCCCTTTGAGCCCCTCTACGGGTTGATAAAAGTGGTATATAAATGAAATAAATAAATAAATAAATAATCTATAAGATACCGTTACCTATAGCCCAGTGTTTCTCAACCTTCCCAATACCGTGACCCCTTAATAAAGTTCTTCATGTTGCGGTGACCCCCAACCATAACATTTTTGTTGCTACTTCATAACTGTAATTTTGGTACTGTTACGAATTGTAATGTAAATATTCGATATACAGGATGTATTTCATTCACTGGACCAAATTTGGCACAAATACCCAATATGCCCAAATTTGAATACTGGGGGTTGGGATGGGAGGATTGATTTTGTCATTTGGGAGTTGTAGTTGCTTGGATTTATAGTTAACCTACAATCAAAGAGCATTTGGAAGTCCACCAACTGGAATTGAACCAAACTGGGCACATAGAACTCCCATGACCAACACAAAATACTGTGTTTGGTGGACATTGACCTTGAGTTTTGGAGTTGTAGTTCACCTTCATTCAGAGATGTGGACTCAAGCAATGATGCATCTGGACCAAACTTGGCAGGGATACTCAATGTGTCCAAATGTGACACTGGTGGAGTTGGGGAAATAGATCTTGACATTTGGGAGTTGTAGTTGCTGGGATGTATAGTCCACCTTTAATTAAAGAGCATTACGAACCCCACCCATGATAGAATTGGGCCAAACATCCCACACAGAAACCCCATGACCAACATAAAATACTAACAACCCCCTCGCGACCCCCTCAGGGGTCCCGACCCCCAGGTTGAGAAACACTCCTATAGCCGAAGTCAATTCCTTCTGTAAGTTAACTTTTACTTCTCCAGTAGTTCCAAGTATTTGGATGCCAGCTGGGAGGAATGGGTGAAGCGGCTTAAATAAGAATCCAGCTCTTTATAAACCCTTCATCACACACATTCCAAAAATACTTTATATAATATATATACCGTGTGGTATGTCTCATTTTTTATTTACTAGTAGTTCTGAAAGGATATATATTGGATGCTGATGTGTGTGTGTCTTCTTTTATGTATACCTGCTTCATTGCACGAGTGCCAGCTTTTTCTTTACTTTTGATAATTTATGAGAACATACGGTGGGTTTGGAAATAGTTGCATTTAGGACGCATCTGAGTATGGCACACCAAAAAAATGAAGATCTATGATATATAAATATTAAAATACGTCCCCACAAAGGCAGGAAATACATTTTTGGCTATATATATCAAACTGAAAATAAAATACATCTATCTCTTTGAAAGGAAATCCTTCCTGAATTTGCAGTTGGCACAAAATTGCACGGAACAGCTTATACTTCAAAAGATAGAAATAAAATTCAGACAGACCTTGACAGATTTTTTTTAAAAAAAACCCTGAAGTGAGATAAATGAAATGAAATCCAAGAGACAAAGGGAGAGTCAACATTCAAGCAAACATTGTTCTTTAAACAATTTAAACCAACAAGAACAATTGATGGACAGAAGATGAAGCCCAATGAAAATAAGATTTTCACATCCTTGTCCCCAGCCAATATGGGCATCTTGTGGAGGAAAGCTAATCTAGAAATTCTAGTTAATTCCCAACTGAATGTGAATATGTGGAGTGATAAAGTTGCAAAAACAAGTAACGCAATGCAGGTTTCAATGAAAGATCCTTATTATATGGAACTACTTCAAGTAACAAGTGACAGAAGTAGTTCTACCTTATTCTACACCAGTCTGATGACACCTAAAGTCCTGTGAGTCATTTTAAACACTAGGTTAAAATGAATAGGTTTAGTTCGGTGGAGCAGTGGGTTAAACCGCTGAGCTGCTGAACTTGTTGACTGAAAGGTCGCTGGTTCGAATCCGGGGAGTGGAGTGAGCTCCCACTGTCAGCCCCTGCTTCTTCCAACCTACCACTTCAAAAACATGCAAATGTGAGATCAATAGGTACCACTCCGGCGAGAAGGTAATAGTGCTCCATGCAGTCATGCCGGCCAGATGACCATGGAGGTGTCTATGGACAACGTTGGCTCTTCAGATTAGAATGGAGATGAGCACTAACCCCCAGAGTCAGACAGGACTGGACTTAATGTCAGGGGAAAACATTTACCTTTACCTTAGTTCAGAAGAGAGCAGACCTGGGGTCAGAAGTAGAGAAAACAAATCTTGTCAGGAAAGATAGAAGGTTTTAGCCTAGAGATGGGAAGATTAGAAATGGTTGGATTCTATTGTAATTGAATGCCACCACAAAGAAAAGGACTATTCACCGCTGCTTCAGTGGGCAGGCCAAGAACTAATGACTTCAAACCACAAGAAAGGAGATTCCATCTGAACATTAGGAAGAACTTTCTGACACTGAGAGCTGTTCAGCAGTAGAACTCTCTGCCCCAGAGTGTGGTAGAGGTTCCTTCTTTGGAGGCTTTTAAACAGAGACTGGATGGCCATCTGTCAGGGGTGCGTTGAATGCAATTTTTTCCTGCTTCTTGGCAGGGGGTTGGACTGGATGGCCCATAAAGTCTCTTCCAACTCTATGATTCTATTCTATGATAATGAGCTTATCATATATCTTGCTTGTCCTAAATCAAATTCCTAGTACCAGCTGTAGTAGAACAATTGCAAAAATGGTTTTAGGACGAGGCTACACTGGTCACTAAATCTGGAACCAGCCCATAGCACTGGAGGAGCTCCATAGCCAGCCGGGAGTGGCATTGGCAACAAGGGCTGAGCCATCCACTGCACTATTTCATGTATGGAAAGAGTGATGACATTGTATCCACAGGGGTAGGGAACCTTTGGCCCTCCAGCTGTGGTGGACTTCACCTCCCACAATTCCTTGAGGCTCGGCATTGGGCCAAGGTAAGCCTTTGGGGCGAATGCCGAGCCTCAAGGAATTGTGGGAGGTGAAGTCCACCACAGCTGGAGGGCCAAAGGTTCCCTACCCCTGCTGGACAGTTGATTGATCTGATCCAGCTGTCCAGACTGCTACACAGTACCAGGATACTCTGGAGTTTCCAGTACGCTCCAGAGTATCTCCCTACTTTGCCAAAAAGTGGAACAAATTGGGTTTCACATTTAAAAAGACCACAACTCTCACCAGAAGACTGAAGAATGCCATGGAGACAGTCAGAAGTTGATTTCAGATGAGTCCAGGTCTTCTTGCCCATATAGACTCACTTTTAGATAAGTATTGATTGACTATTTGGCAGTTAATTCAATGGATATGCTCTTGTTGGGGCCAATAATTGGATTTAAGCCCTTGTGATAAGAGCGACTCAACGATGAAACAAAATTTCTGGGGTGTCTTCAAGCAAAAGTTGGGCAGCCCTTTATTAGGCATGCTAAGGGAGATGTTTTGAGCTAGTGACTGGATGACAATGTTTCTACCCATTCAATAATTTGGTGGTTATCATCTGTCAAAGAGAGTGCATTTTTCTTTCAACAATTACTTTATTTCCCTAGATTACTAGTGCAGCTGAAACAGAAGCAATCACAAGGCTCAAACTGGTCAAAGGTCATGCATACTCTGTTACTGGAGCTGAAGAGGTAAAAACATTTTTTTCTTTTGGTGATCTGCAGTGAAAACAATATTCAATAACATTTCAATTTTATCAACCTAGTCTCCATTCCCTCTCTCTCTTTCCAAAGATTGTGCTTAATATATAAAGTAAGGTTTAAAGTAATTTCCAAAACTTGAAATCACAATAAAATACCATTATGGAACCAAATAATTTTAAGATGACGGATAAAAGTTATAACCAATAGTTTGAGGACAGATTGACAATTGCATATCTTTCCCAAGATATGCAAAATCTCTGGAAGTTTTTTGGTTTTTCTTTTCAGAAAAAAATTGCTTTGAAAAAAAATGCTATTTTGAGGACTATAGTGGGAGAATAGGTAGGACTGGGTTGCTGTGAATTTTCCTGGCTGCCTGGCCATGTTCCAGAAGCATTCTCTCCTGATGTTTCACCCACATCTATGGCAGCCACTCTCAGAGGTTGTGAGGTCTGTTGGAAACTAGGCAAGTGGGATTTATATATCTGTGGAATGTCCAGGGTGGGAGAAAGAACTCTTCTCCACCTGAGGCAAGTGTAGGTGTTGCAATAGATCACCTTAATTAACATTGAATAGCCTTGCGGCTTCAAGGCTTGGCTGCTTCTTGCCTGGGGGAATCCTTTGTTGAGAGGTGATTAGCTGGTCCTAATTTGTTTCTTGTCTGGAATTCCCCTGTTTTTGAATGGTGTTCTTTCTTCACTGCCCTGATTTTAAAGGGTTTTTTTTAAAGACTGGTAAGTAGGTCGATTAGCTGCTGAAGGGGTGGTGAATCATTTTGGATTTTGCCCCCACTTCTCTTGTAGTTGCTCCGACCAGCTCTAGAAGAACTCCCATTCAACTGAGTGCCACTGTGCAAGGAGTTGGGTAAAAATCCAGAGTGTGTTCACTGAGCCAGGAATATGGTGGGCAGATCAAGAATTAGAGAGGGCTCCCACAAGGTCTTTTTAAGTTTCTCTTTATGATTTCAGAGTTTTTGTGCTGATCATGGATTTGAAAAAGATCCTGACAATCGAGATGCATTGTTTTTGTTCTTAATGAAGAATAGTCCATATATCGTATCATATAACATAAAGGAATGATTAGATGCCTGCAGTTCTTCTTGTGTTGTTTCTCCCCACAGGTTAACTACCGTGGCCAGCCAGTGAAACTACTCAGAATAAGAAACCCATGGGGTGAAGTGGAGTGGACTGGAGCCTGGAGTGATAAGTATGTTGTTACATTCTACATTTTCTTCTTTTTAGACTGGATGACCTTCACAATGTCGCACTTTTTGTCATGTTTTAACTGTAACATCTGAAATACCATTAACTCGTCTATTTATTCATTAAAATTGATATTTATTCTCCCTCAAGGTTGATATATGTGGGATAATTCCATGTTAGTTTTCTAGCAATGCTGAGAAGAAGGTTAGGCCAAGAAATGGTGTGACTAATCCAAGGTCACCTGGGATTCTTCATATCTCAGCAGGGTTTTGGACTTTCTCACTAGTTCACATCTCAGAGGGAATTGATTGAATGGCTACATGCAGTGTACCACCTGTAGTATACTGAAGTTCCCTAGTTTTATCTAGCTCAGCTCTCTCGTGATAGAAATGATGTTCATACCTCTATGTTGAATGTTATACTGTACTGGAAATGCATTAATCTCTCTTGCATCCTCTCTGGTCATTTGTTATAATATATGAAGTTCTTCTAAAATTAGATCAGAAAAAGTTAATAAATCAAATAGCAACTAATAGGAAGAAAGTAGCATTAATAAATCAGTAGGGCCATTTATTATCTCACACCTGGGTTTCCTTTATGTTTCCATGCCTGGATAATACTGAGAAATTCACTGTTAAATAAATTACATACAAAGATTAATGCACTCACAGTAAAATGATTTTTTCTCCTCTTGCTCTTCTGCTTTTCTTATTCTTCCTTCACATTATTAACCACCAACAGTTAAAATAGTTCTGAGTAAAACCCAAAGCAGAAAGACCTCCAGATTTACATAGAATGTATTACCACTTTTCTTCTACAAGTGGGAATCTACAATTAATAAGACAGTACAAATGTATAATGTACAAAATGAATAAAAGTATAACATTTAATGCAAGTTTTAAAACACTGTTCTGGCCCAGCCTACCTGTCTGAATGTATCTCCTTCTATGATCCACCTCGGAGGCTAAGATAGTTGGAGGAGGCCCTGCTCCCGGTCCCACCCCCCTTGCAAGTGTGACTGGTGGGGAAGAGAGACAGGGCCTTCTCAGTGGTGGCCCCTTGTCTATGAAACTCCCTCCCCAGTGAAATTAGATCAACCCCCTCCCTCCTGGCCCTTAGAAAAAACTAAAAAAATTGTTATGGGATCAGGCTTTTGGTCAATAATGAGAGCAAAAGATTATAAATTAATTTAATGATGACCCGGACTGGCCCTGGAATATGACCTGGATTATGTGATTTTAATTGTTGGTTTAATCTTATGTTTCAGTTGATTAGTTCAAATGTTTTTGATGTATGTATACATGCAGCATTGAATTATTGCCTTTGTAAGGCCACCTCTAGAAGAACTCTCATTCAACTGACTGGGATTGAGAAAGGCAGAATACAAGTATGATCAAAATAAATAAATAGATAGTTAAAAGGCCAATAAAAGAAAAATGCAACACCCATTCACTGACAAGCTCCTTTCATAGCACACAAAAAAGTAGTTTGTCATGCCAGCTTAATAAAAGTCTTTCCTTGCCAGTAGAAGGGGAAGAGGAAGAGGGGCATTCATGGGAGTAGTGATGGAGGGAATAAGGGGTTTGACTTTCCAAATTTGAATTCTGTCCCTTCCAGGCCCGTAGCCAGGATTTCGATTGGGGGGGGGGAGCTGAGTTTGTTTCGGGGGGGGGGGGCTGAGTCTGAGTGAAAGAGGGTCTACCCTAGCAAACCTTTTGTATTGTTACCCCAATACCCCCATGCATATGGGATATATTGAGTATGGTGATCAGATCATGATATGAATAAACATAACAGTTTAAATAATGCACCAGTAAGCCTTTTCGCGAACCACCATCAGAATTTGGGGGGGGGCTGAAGCCCCTCAAGCCCCCCCCCCCCAGCTACATGCCTGGTCCCTTCCCATGGAGTTTTCGGCCATTCTTCAAATTTCTAGCATCACAGTAACTTGAAAATTAATTTGAACATTTAGAAATACTGTTTAAGCATCCAAAGAAATAATTTTCTCTGTCTCTACAATGCTAGGAATTTGGGGTGTGCGGAAGCAAAGTTTTTATCTGAGGGTGTCCCTGTTTATGACTCCCTGGTAGCTACACGCCTGGGGCTGGGCATTCTTCTTTGGTGGAAAGGTCGAGCTTTGTGTATGCATTTGACATGTCTCAGAGGTGGCAGGATTAAACTATTTAATTTTCTCCGGACATCTTTATATCTGTTCGGAAAAGGCAGAGTATAGATAAAATTCGTCTTCCTCCTTCTCATATAAAGAATGGAGTAGAAATGTAAGGTCAAAATGCCTTGAAGGCACCAGATACTGCATGATCTTGGAAGCTGAGTTGGGTCAGGCCTGGTTAATAATACCTGGAAGGGAGACTGCCAGGACGCATCAGGTGTTGTGAGCTATCTTTAGAGGAAGGCCTACCACCTCTGAGTACTCATTGCCTAAGGAAACTCTGTGAAATCCAAGGGGTTGCTATGTGTTGACAGACAGCTTGAAGAAGCATGCTATGTATTACTCCAAATACAAAAACTAAAGAAAGAAAGAAAAACACTATAGAAATTAAGTGGATCATAAGGATGCCATCTGTACATTTTGTTATCTATTTAAGATTTTTGTGTGTGGAGTCAAATAATTCCTTTCCACTTGAGATCATATTGGTTTGTATTTCACATACATTTTGAGAGGGGCTGAACAGGTTTTTCCTCACAAGAATAACACAGTACTACCTAACTGATGGTTTATTTTTTTTTATCCCTTGCAGTGCTCCAGAATGGAATTATATTGACCCCAAGGAAAAGAAGGCTCTGGATAAGCAAGCCGATGATGGGGAATTTTGGTGAGAACATTTCCAGCCTCAGGAGATTGTTGATAAATATGCTTTTGGAGCTACAGTCCTAGATATGCATATCATTGAGTAGGAGTGAAACAACAGTTGAATCCATACAGGCTAAATGAAGTTTCTTTACCTTGATATCAGTTCTATTTGAACCCATGGCATTTCTCTTGTTCAGATGTGAAAATACTTTTTTAATGCCTGAGGGTTAAAAACATCCTTTTAAAAAATCTGTTTTATTTCACTGTCTTTGGAAAGAACCAGCTTGTTAAAATGTGTGGTTCAATCACTGAATTTGGGTTGCAGTAGAATCGTAGAGAGGGGGAGAGGAACAAGTTTTGGGTGGTCACCTTGTTGCACCCACCACAGAAGGGGAATTTCCATATATGTACCAATTCAGTTTGGTTATTTGGGGTGCAGATTCAGAAAATTACATTGGATAGACCACAACAGCTCTAGTTTTTGATACAGAATGTATGCCATCCAGTAGTCACCATTTGCTTGCCCACAGAAAAACATATTTAATAATCTGTGGTCTATGTAATGCAATTTTCTAAATCAGCACCCCAAATAGGCCCAGGAACAGGCCTAAAAATGAAGACACCAAGGCGCCCCCACTTCCAGGCACCTAATGGAATGGCTACGCTCGGAGGGGGGGGGGGGGGGGGAGGTAGATAAGGCTTAGTAAAGGTTTCCCCTTGACATTAGGTCCAGTTGTGTCTGACTCTGGGGGTTGGTGCTCATCTCCATTTCTAAGCCAAAGAGCTGGCATTGTCCATAGATGCCTCCAAGGTCATGTAGCCGGCATGATTACATGGAGTGCTGTTACCTTCCCACTGGAGCGGTACCTATTGATCAGCTCACATAAGCATGTTTTCGAACTGCTAGGTTGGCAGAAGCTGGGACTAACAGCTGGGGCTCACCCTGCTCCCTGGATTTGAACCTGTGACTTTTCGATCAGCAAGTTCAGCTGTTCAGCGGTTTAACTCACTGCGCCACCGGGGGCTCCATCAGGAGGCTTATTGTCAGGCATTTCATGGGTAGTCAGCCTCTCCCCTCCTAACATCCCCATTCCGTTAGCACTATAAAAGGGTTTTGCGGGACCAGTCACTCTTGTTGCAATCGTGTAATAACAGTGAGGCCGCAGACAACATTTTATTTATTTATTTACGACATTTATATATTGTCCTCCTCACCCCGAAGGGACTCAGAGCGGCTTACAAGATATCTATACAAACAATATATATTATATTATTAGCATAGTACAATATCAGTATTAAATATTACTATGTTGTACTACACCATTATATTGTAATATTATTAGAAATATTACATGTAATATAAATATATAATTATAATATCATATTTTAGTTCTTGTGGACCACTGGTGGTCCATGCACCTCAGGCTGGCCACCACTGATGTAACCCAACTAATACAAAAAACATATGCACACAGTAGAAATACCTCCTTGCATCACTGTGACCTTATGTGACTTTCCAAACGGATTTCAATTTGGATTAAAAGATGTGCATATAAGGCAGGGATACTATGCAGTGTAGATACAGCCATTACGTAGAGTCAGCCTAGATGGGATATTAAACATACCATTTAGTCTTGTATCTTTCTGGAGCTACCCCAGGACACGTTCCTGCCTGAGAAAAGGACAATATGGTATCCTTCTCTACTCCATGCACTGCATGCAGCTAGCTAATTGGAAACTGGGTTTTATCTATTGTTGAAGGCTTTTGAGGTTCTATATTATTAATTACCCGAGGGTAGCATGGTAATTTAGTCTGCTTGTATGCCAAACAAAGCTCTACCCTCCCAGAGACAAACATGATTAGGAAATTTAAGAAGCATGGCTGTTGTTACTTGTCTTAGTATCTGCTGCTTTAGGAGGTTGCCTCATTCTGCTTAGCCCTCAGTTACCCATTTTTAAATTGATTGTAGGAGGAATGAGAAAGTCTGAATCTTGTTAGGATGGTGTTGGGCACAGAGAGAAGGGGTTTAATGTTTTCAGTTCTGACAAAAATAATAAAAACTCCCATCAGAGGGTGGTATAAATTCCAAAAGGAAAATCTTCATTGTCAGTGTTGGGTGCCTGTGGGAGCTTATAGTAGCTGTGCTGGTGGGGATTTTAATTGGGAGTGTGCTGGAGAAGAGGAAAGGATTAACAGTATCCCCAGTTGTGGTTCATCGTCCTTCTCAGAAAAACAAACAAACAGAGCTTTGCCTCCAAAACCTGTTATATTAGCAATTAAAAATGAAAGATACAACTTAAAGGAACATGTAGTAGGATCCAGGATATTTCTAAATTTTGAGATACGATAAAACAAGGATGTAAATATAGGTAAGCTACTGTTCCTATTTAACAGGCTGCATGGTGGATCATACATCGTGTGGATTAAATGTGCACATTTATGTGAGGCTGAATCTAAACTTGCAAAATAATTTGTCCGTACTTCAATCCTGGTTGTTTTTGAAAACACATTCCTCCCGTTTCAAAGTGAAAACACATCTTTTAGATGCTTTAGGCCATTAATGCATTTAAAACACACACACACACACACACACACACACACACACAAACAAAAACAAAAAAACAAGCAACCCCCTTTTATCTGAAGGGGAAAACAGGCTCTTTAATAATTTCTTTCTCTAGGATTCTCTCAAACCATTACTGGAAATGTAACATGCGTAAGTTCTGTGGCTCCCCGCTTTTGTAATACCATCTAATCTAATCCATTGTGAACTAAGGATCGTATGATGACTAGATGGAACAGGACTGATTGCTGAAAATTTCAGGTTTGAAAAGGATGTGGAGATTCCTAGAAACTTCTATGGTTTGTAATGCCAAGTAATTCTGTTGGTCCCATGACTGTCTGCTGCCTTGGCAGAAAATAAATCAATTGCAAGTGGGTATGGCTGTGCTCCAGATTCAATAAGCACTCCTGTGTTCTTTCTCTGTGGTGGCAGGATGTCCTTCTCTGACTTTCAAAGGCAGTTTACAAGGCTTGAAATCTGCAACTTGACCCCCGACACCCTGACAAGCAATCACCTTCATAAGTGGGGCATGAGATTGTTCAATGGAAGCTGGCGGCGGGGCTCTACAGCTGGGGGATGTCAGAACTATCCAGGTATAATGTTTCCAAGGGGAAGTCAATTACTGCCAAGGTTTGGAAAAGTTATTTTTTGGATTACAGCTCTCAGAATGCCCAATGTAGCATGCCATTAGAACTTTCTGGTCCAAAAAAATTAGCCAAAAATAGCTTTTACATTGCAAAGCTGTGTGGATGGTTTCAGTTGCCTCCTTCAAGACTGGTTTCAGTTTTAATTAATCATAGAATCATAGAGTTGGAAGAGACCTCGTGGGCCATCCAGTCCAATCCCCTGCCAAGAAGTAGGAACATCACATTCAAATAATCCCCGACAGATGGCCATCCAGCCTCTGTTTAAAAGCTTCCAAAGAAGGAGCCTCCACCACACTCTGGGGCAGAGTTCCACTGCTGAATGGTTCTCACAGTCAGGAAGTTCTTCCTCATGTTCAGATGGAATCTCCTTTCTTGTAGTTTGAAGCCATTGTTCCGCATCCTAGTCTCCAGGGCAGCAGAAAACAAGTTTGCTCCCTCCTCCCTATGACTTCCTCTCACGTATTTATACATGGCTATCATGTCTCCTCTCAGCCTTCTCTTCTTCAGGCTAAACATGCCCAGCTCTTTAAGCCGCTCCTCATAGGGCTTGTTCTCCAGACCCTTGATCATTTTAGTCGCCCTCCTCTAGACACATTCCAGCTTGTCAATATCTCTCTTCAATTGTGGTGCCCAGAATTGGACACAATATTCCAGGTGTGGTCTAACCAAGGCAGAATAGAGAGGTAGCATGACTTCCCTGGATCTAGACAATCTACTCCTATTGATGCAGGCCAAAATTATTTGATTTCTATTGCACCATTGTTTACAGTTTGGCCATGTCTTATGGTAGTTGCCTCCATAGGTCATTGGGCTTTGTTCTGAGTTTAAACTTTATTGTATTGTACTGTGTGTTTATTTTATGCTTTGTCTTAGGCACTTTGTGCCATATGTAAGATGCCTCGAGTCCCTTCGGGGAAATGGAGGCATGGCACAAAAATAAAATTATTATTATTCTCTTCAGACTCATGGTAGCTAATGTCAAGATTATTTTAAAAGGCAAAGTTTAGTAGTAAAACACAATAACACTTAATATTAAAGCATACCTTTCCCAGGATCCAACCAAATGGCCAAAAGGATACATGGCATTGTAGAAGTGAGGTAGTTTATGTGTATTTTGCTCTCTGGGGCCTATTAGAAAAAAGTTCCCACCATTACCACAGCAAGATGCATGATTCCCAAAACTTGGAAAGGGTATTTTTGTTTTGTTTTGTGTTTTGGCATGTAAGGCAGAAAATCCCCCCTTCCTGTCTCCTGATAGAAATAATATAATAATGGAAAAGCAAAAGCTTAACAGTTTGGCCATTAATGCACTTGGAAGAAGCCCCTAAAATGGTGGGTTCAATTGAGCTGAACACAGAAGCCTCATTGGGTTAGAGATATCCAGCTCAGGGCCCTTCCACATAGTCCTATATCCCAGAATAACAAGGCACTGATGTAATTATTATGATTATTTGTTAAAAATCTTACTAGTTGCCTTTCTGCCCATTAAAGCCCCTTCCACACAGCTGAATAAAATCCCACAATATTTGCTTTGATCTGGAATATATGGCAGTGTGGACTCAGATAAAGCCAGTTCAAAGCGGATATTGTGGGATTTTCTGCCTTTATATTCTGGGATGTAGGGCTGTGTGGAAGGGCCCTTGGTTAACATATTTATCAATTACAGCTCCTGGATTTAAGAAGATATACATTCATTCTGTGGGTCCTGTGCAATTCTTGTTTGTTCCATAAAATGTATTTCTTCATATTTAATTTTATTCCTTTGAAAGATTTATTAGTCATCCTTTAGCAAATATTTCTCAGGATAATGCAGAATGAAATATTATAGCATAAGCTTGCAGACCAAAATGTGTGATTAAAGACAACATGGTAGTCATGGGAGATTCATATTCAAAGATAAAATTGAACAATGATTCATAAGTGGATATATACACTTGCATCTATGAAAAGTTAAAGGTTTCTCCTTGACATTAAGCCTAGTTGTGTCTGATTCTAAGGGGTGGTGCTCATCTCCATTTCTAAGTCAAAAAGGCAGCATTGTCCATAGACGCCTCCAAGGTCATGTGGCTGGCCTGACTGCACGGAGCATTGTTAACCTTCCTGCCGAAGCGGTGTCTATTGATCTACTCACATTTCCATGTTTATGAACTGCTAGGTTGGAAGAAGCTGGGGCTAACAGTGGGAGCTCCCTCAGTTTGAACCGTTGACCTTTTGTTCAGCAAGTTCAGCAGCTCAGTGGTTTAACCTGCTGCACCACTGGGGGCTCTGATCTTGCATCTATACATGTCCCTTATTACCGGGGGTATACATAACTTCTGAAGGTCCTCATTTCCAGTGCAAAATCCACTTTATAGTGCTCTCATTGTGCTATTCTAATTGCTTCTCATATTTGTTTTCATTTATCACTGTTATTTCTTTTTAATTTTTATTTATACGTCTCATTCCATCTGCAATATGCCATAACTACAATACTGCACAATTGTATGCTTTAACAGTCTAGTGAAACAGTTTTATTTTCATTTGTCTAATGCTAAATTACTTTTAATTCCATTGTCATTTGGGGCTCCAACTCTAACCTGTAATTAAAACGAATAGCAAGTACAGTTTGGGTTAATTAAGAATTTTAAGAAATGACTTCAAGTAGGAAAATAGATTTGCTGCATGGTAATAAAACCATGGTGTTACTTGCAAGAGCCATTCTTGTAAATTATAAGCTCTATAGCATCTAATCTGGCTGGAATAACAAAAGCTTGCAGGCCCAGATATATTAATATTTCTACAAGTCATTGTTTGTATAGAAGCCATGTCACTTTTCACTGTGGGGAATGGTTCTGTGACACTGTTTGCCTTGGGCAGGTCAAGAGTAAAAAGCTGCATTTATCTCTTGATCAGGAAATTAATTATCTCTATTTACAACAGCTTTAGCTACAGTCAGGTATATAGCCATCCCTCCACATTTGAGGTTTTGACTATTAAGAATTGAATTATTCCCATATTTTATTGAAATGTTCAATCTAGGAATCTCTACGTCCTCTGGTCCTCTATGGTCAACTTTTTCTGATTGTCCTGGAGGACCCAGCGATTCTAGAGAAAACAGCTCTCTAGGAATCTCTAAGTCCTCCAGTGCAATTCTGTGATCAGCTTCCAGGGGAGGTTGACAATAGACTTGGAAATTTCTAGAGAGGTGTTCTTTCAGGGAAAAAACCCCCCACAATTTCCTTGTTCATTGTTTTCTCTTTCACTTAGGTTTTGAATGTGGAGGGCTATCTTTATCAGCAAATATGGGGTGTTGTTGGGTTCAGTCCCATGGGCCTATGCTCGAAATTTATTTCTCAGGCCCCTTCCACATAGCTGAATAAAATCCCACATTATCTGCTTTGAACTGGAATATATGGCAGTGTGGACTCAAATCTCCCAGTTCGAAGCAGCTATTGTGGGATTTTCTGCCTTTATATTCTGGGTTATATGGCTGTGTTGAATGGCCCTCAGTTGCTTTGTAGGGCCCGGACTGTGGCATAATAGGCCTGCCACAAAACCCCTTTATAGTTGCATGGACTATGGGAGGATTCTCTAGGCAATGGAGAAAGATCATGGCTCAACCTTATTGTTAAGTTTCACCTCGCCTCACTAAGAAGGCCACCTTCTTTCAGGAGTTCAACTTTTAATGAACGAATGGTAATTACAATATATGGGCAAACAAGAATTAGTTCACTTCTCACTTCCTCATAGTGCCATAGCCAGAAAAAAAAATTCGGGGGGGGGGGGTGTTTAAAAAAAAACAATTATGAAGAGTAGTTCCATAACACAAAATAATGTAAATAGTATGTTTCATTCTATATTTTATATAGACTTAAATCAATTTAATGTTTACTTCTCATAGACTTAGCATGGGGATTTGGTTAACCAGTTAAAATTCATGAGTAAACCAGATTTTTTTAACCTGAAATTGGGGGGGGGGGGGGGTTGAACCCCTAACAACCCCTCCCGACTACAACCCTGCTTGCTCATACCTCAATCAAGAGTGGTTGAAGTAGGGTCTACATCAATATCTCGCTTCAACTATAAGACCAAGTACCTACTAAATCATATTGGTATGTAGTGAGGAAACAAACAAAAAACTAGCAACAGATTGGTCTGAACTTATTTGCCCTTGAATAGTTCATAGTTAGTGATTCATTCATTCATTCATTTATGGTTATGGTTTTAAGTTTCATTTCCAAGCCATATTTGAGAGTTGTTTCTTAGAGGGTATGTCTCTAGTGAACACCTCTTGGGAATATATGGCAAGTCTGTGTTAATGAACAAGGCCATTTCAGCCGGTTATTACTCCCACCTGCAATGTCTCTTAATAGTGGAGGGAAAAAGAGGCAGTATAGAATATATCATTATAATGGGGAGATGACTGGAAATCAAAATAGAGCTCGCTCCCTGCAGCTCTAGCAGTGGTGAATCTGGCTGTATTAGTAGCAAAGTCATTCTTCTTTCATTGCACTTCACTCTCTGACTATACTTTGGTCTTTATAGCAACATACTGGACCAACCCACAATTTAAAATCCGCCTGGATGAGCTGGATGATGACCATGAAGGTAGTGCGAGTGAACCATCTTGTACGGTGCTGTTGGGCTTGATGCAGAAGAACCGCAGGAGGCAAAAGAGGATGGGGGAAGCGCTGCTCAGCATTGGCTACTCCCTTTACAAGGTATATGACACTGCTTCTAACTCTCCTGGCCCCACGTTTTTGCCTTGGGTGCCACTCTTAATAACAGGTAGCTAATGGGGACATAAATGCCAGTAAGCGTATCTTGGAGTCACTAGTGCAATGGTTCCCACCCTTTGGTCCTCCAAGTTTTTGGACTTCAGTTCCCACAATTCCTAACAGCTGGTAAGATGGCTGGGATTTCTGGGGGTTGAAATCCAAAACATCTGGAGGACCAAAGGTTAGGAACCACAACAGTAGTGGTGGGACTTTAGCAGCTGATGGTTATGGCAAGACCTGTGGTGGAATGAAAATCACGCATAGTTCATGTCTTCACCAATCCACACAATGTCTTGCTAGAGAAAAGATATGCCACGCAGGTGATCAGTAAAGAATAAGGTGTTTACTCTTTGTTATGCAGAGCAACATACATACAGTCATGTGAATAGTTGCATTGATTCACACAATGTCCTTTGAGAGAGAGTCAAATGGTCCTTAGGTGTCCATGTGAAGGATCTTCTTCCAGGGGCTCAGAAGCAGAAATATACTAACTGTCTTGTAAGCTCCTGCACAGAAAACCTAAACATGTAACTGTTGCCAAAACTCCCAGCTTCAGCTAGCCTTTTGGGCGTGACCCAACCAATCAGCTTTGTGCTTTGCATTTTTCAGTTAACTCACCAACTCACCAACTGATTTTTACATGCTCCAACAAGACCTACACACACAAACACAGACAGAATCATCTGATGAATCCATTGAAACAGGGGTGGTGACTTTGCTCTTGGTTTCGCAACTGCTTCAGGAGCTCTCTGGGTGTCAAACTTCTCTTAGGAATAGAGTTGGTCATCTGGGTGGCTTCCATATAAGCTGCTGCAAGAGGCTATCCTTGCAGTCGTTTTTCCAATTAATTTCCAATCAGCCACTTGGCATCATTTGAAGAAAGTGATTATTTACAGCAGATATTGTAAAGGGATGTTTCAGATTATGTGAGATTTTCCCCCATCATAGGCATACTCCCCCAATCCTTCTACCTTATTCTTCAGCTGGCTGTACTTAATACAATTTACACAGAGAAGAGAAAATGCAAGAAGAGTCATTCTTATGTGCTGTCTTTTCTAAGAAATTGGTACTCCTCTTAGACAAACAAACAGCAGAGCAGTGATTTTGCGGGAGGATTTGATGGAAGCAGTGGCAACATTTGGAAGGGGGAAGTTTGGGGTCAGTCAACTGGGCAACTGCATAAACCATACTGGAGACTTCTGGTGACTCTGTGTGCCATGAAGGCCATGGATTACTGTCCACATCAACCCTGAACATTCTATGTTTTATGTGGTCTATGTCCGATGTTTTTATAGTTTACTGGTTTTAATCTATTGTTATATGCCATTTTAGTAATGTGTTGTATTTTATATTTTGTGAGGCATTGAATTTTGCCATTTACTTTGTTGTAAACCACTTTGAATCTCCCTAGGGCAGTGGTTCTTAACCTGTGGGCCGCGGACCACCAGTGGATTGTGAGAATGAAAATCTGGTCTGCGAGCCTCCTTCCTCTTTATCTATTTAATTTATTTTACATCGCTTGCCACTCCTTCCCTGTCACTGACCATTTGTTCTGTATCAGAAACTAGAATTGATGTGGTTTATCCAATGCAATTTTCTGAATCAGCATCCCAAACTGAAAGTAAAGTTGACCAAAAATTGATTTGTAACCCTTTTGGTACTAATGTTGGAGAATGGTCCCTGGTCAAAGTGGTCCCTGGTAAAGTGGTCCCTGGTCAGGTGGTCCTTGGTCAAAGGGGTCCCTGGTCAAATAAACGTTGGGAACCACTGCCCTAGGGGTTGAAAAAGTGGTAAATAAATAAGTGAAGAGCAGAAAGCAATCTTTCTGATTTCTGGTCTGCCTTGTAAAATTGCAGCTTATATCTCCAGTCTTTCTTATTAAATTATTAAATGGTAAACACTTTGGAAGCCAGGTATTATGAGATATCAATATTAATGTCACAGATAAAAAGGGATTGCCTTTAACAGATGAATTGCAATGAAAATAATTCTTATAAAAATTTACCCTTGCTTGTGAATCTAATTATGATTGTGTGAGTGACTAAAATTTTTCTATGTGAATACAGTTGGTTTTACAAAAAGCATTAATGGTTATTTAATTCTGATGGAGGGCAATCTATGTATATATGCATCTCATCACCTGTGACATTGGCCACATGTCAACTTGCTAAACCCACTTCTTCTCACTTTCATATGTGGAGCCCCCGGTGGCGCAGTGGGCTAAACCCCTGTGCCGGCAGGACTGAAGACCGACAGGTGGCAGGTTCGAATCCGGGGAGAGGCGGATGAGCTCCCTCTATCAGCTCCAGCTCCTCATGCAGGGACATGAGAGAAGCCTCCCACAAGGATGACAAAACATCAAATCATCTGGGCGTCCCCTGGGCAACGTCCTTGCAGACGGCCAATTCTCTCACACCAGGAGCGACTTGCAGTTTCTCAGGTCGCTTGTGACATGACAAAAAAAAAACAAACTTTCATATGTAATAGTGAGGAAAAGAGAGAGAAAAGAATGTGAAATTGGCCAGACTGGGGAGACTTTAGACCAGGTGTAGAAAGAAAATTGGGGTTCTTTTAAAAGATTTTACTGCATTATTATTTCTACCAACACAATGCAGGATCTGTACAAAATTTAAAAGTGATATGCTCTCTGTTAGACGATTCACAATATTAAGAAAGATACCTTCAGAGACAAAAGGTGACTACAAAAGCTTAGTAAGGAACTGATCTGAGAACTGTTCATTTACCCTGGCTTTGCAGCCTTCCTCCCTTGCAATTTAACAAAATATGCACATGTATTAGTTCTTCACTAGTGCTCTGAGACTAGTGGGTTGTAAAGCCATGGAAGGAATTCAAGATACTGTTAGATATTCTGGATGTGGATTTAAGAATCAGCCCCAAATGACTGGATTATCTCAGTGGAGTAGCGATATTGTAGGGAAAATTTCATATAGGACCCAAAGCCCCCAACGTGTAGTGCTCATTAGGCATAAAAACCTCACTGCTCAAATCTCCTGATAGTTGACTGGCTCATCCTACTGTTAGTGAAAAATACATGGCTGCCCTTTCTCATCAGGACCCTTTCTGTCTCTTTCAGGTTCCAAAAGAGGTACATACATGCTGGGAATATCCATTCTCCAAAGTTGCTTCAAAGGGCTAATAATGGAATAGATCATCACCTGCTGCTTATGGCTCATGCCTGCAAACTGACCATTCCTCTTCTGATGTGTGCAGAGACATCGGATTTCTCCCTGGAGAAATTTGAAACTTTGTGTCTAAAGTGGGAACAGATTTATTTATTTATTGTTTCAGAATAAAACCAAGAGTACAGTTGTAATTGTAGTACGGTAGTAGTGGTGATGGTAGTAGTAGTAATAGTAATAACTTTATACCTCGCCTCCATCTCTGTGAAGGGACTCGGGGCGGCTTACAAAGGGACCCCAAAAAAACAGGTTAAAATAGCATTGAAAAACAAGCAATATCAAACATCAATAAACATAAAATCAGACAACATTATAAAAACAATTAAAAGCAATATCATGGCTGAGCAAATAAAGTGCAGGGCTCGGTACATAAGTACAATGAATCCTAAGTAGAGCCAGGGAAAGTGTGACAATTGTAGGGCTGGGCTAGGAGGCAAATGTCCTTAAGCTATTATAAGAAGCTCCTCTATTGTGCATGTGGCAGGGCTCAGATTGCATTTTCACAGGTGGTCTGTGGTTTGCTCTTCTTCACCCTCGCATGTTGTGGAGTCTACTTTGTGGCCCCATTTCTTAAGGTTGGCTCTACAGTCTGTTCAGTGCCTTCCAAGTCACCCAGTCTTCTGAGTGCCCAGGGGAGACTTCTCATTTGGTATCAGCCATGGCTTGAGGTTCTGGGTTTTTGCCTGCCACTTTTGGACTCTCGCTTGCTGAAGTGTTCCTGCAAGTGTCTCTGTAGATATTAGAAAACTATTTCTTGATTTAAGGCATTGGTATGCTGGCTGATATCCAAACAGAGGATGGACCAGAGATGTCACTGCCTTTGTCCTTTCATTCTTGGCTGCTGCTTCCCGGCGGACGTCAGGTGGTGCAATACTGGTTAAACAGTATAATTTCCCCAAAACAGGTTATACAGTAGAGATACAGAGAAGACTGAATGAAACACACTGCTCTGTCCTTAAGCATCTGGGATGCCATTCTACTTGCTTCCCAGCATCCAATGTATGAGGTGGCTACCTTATTTTGATGATTGGTAGGGCTGGCCCTGGTTCTTATTTTGATGATTGGTAGGGCTGGCCCTGGTTCTTATTTTGTTTTTATAAAGCTAATAATAGGAGTTTAACTGAAAAATTATACCTACCATATTATTTGAGATAAACTTCTTGACTGTGAGAGCTGTTCAGCAGTGGAACGTTCTGCCCTGGAGTGAGGCTCCTTTGGAGGCTTTTAAACAGAGGCTGGATGGCCATCTGTCGGGGATGCTTTGAATGCGATTTTTCTGCTTCTTGACAGGGGGTTGGACTGGATGGCCCACGAGGTCTCTTCCAACTCAGTGATTCTATGATTCTATGAGAGAATACTGTGCCTCACACTTGCAGTCTGCTTCCTTAATGGATACCTAAGACAGCAGGAGATTTGGTAAAAAGAAAAGAGAATGTATTTTATTTGCTCTGCATAAATAAACTTGTTCTCTACAACAATGGCATTCACATCACACCAAACTGTCACTGAAATGCTGTATATTCTGGATTAGGTTTACAGCCAAAGAAGTGTAATGTACCAAATTGGCATCCTCATATATCTGATCCTAGCTGCTAATGTATTTGGTATGTTTGCTGTATGAGTATATGATTATATTATTATCAGTAGATAACGCAGCACACCCAGTTTCAAACAAACTCCACCTCGTTTGTAAGATTCCTTTGTTGAGTCATGTTTTGAAAGGTGACTACAGTAATGATGCTGTTTTAAAAAGGGGTTGTTTTGTTTTATTCCATTGTTCAACTTGAGACCAATATATTTGCCTCACGACATATGCTGCACTGTTATCAAGTATGGAAAAGATGTGTGAGTGTAGCAAATTATGTTACTAGATTATCAATTAAGTGTAAGTAAATCAGATTAATTCTTTTCTATTTATTATTTATTTATTTACGCTATTAATATCCCACCTTTCTCTAACCCGAAGGGGACTCAAGGCAGCTTTACAAATGGCAACTATATGATGCCTTTAGACAACAGACAATTAAATACATTAAGTTAAAATTTAAAATTAGAGTTAAAATGCACGTTAAAACACATAAACATTATAATCACTATTAAAATCACGCCATCCACAATCGTAATCCGGGGCTGTTCCAAGCATCATTGCACATATTTCGTAGTTATTATTGCACTTGAATTATTTCACTTTTTTAATTGAAACACTTTATGCTTGATTCCAGGAGAACAAGGTGATGTTGGCCATCTTTGTTTATAAATGCATAGCATCAAACTGGTTAGAGAATGTTGTTTAAACATCTATGTGGCATGTGTTGGAGCTGTAGCATATATAAATGAATTAACATGGAGAATTCATTCACAGAGGTTAATTGCATAGAAAAGCAAGGTGATGGCCACACCATGCTTGAAACATCTTTAGGAGGAGAGCCTATTCTCATGACTAGATCATCAGTCCAAGGGCTGCCAGAAACCTTTTAATCAATAATATGGGTAATTTATTCTGTGTATTATGGCCTTTCAAAATTCAAAAGAGCTGTCCAAGGTACTGAATGTGATCTCCAACATATTCAAAACTTTAAATGAGATAGGTGTCTAAAAAGCTCAATCCTATTTCCAATATAGGTTCAGCACCTTGTATAGCCCTGCCTTTGTTTAGCGTAGTGGTTCTCAGCCTGTGGATCCCCAGGTGTTTTGGCCTTCAACTCTCAGAAATCCCAGCCAGTTTACCAGTTGTTAGGATTTCTGGGAGTTGAGGCCAAAACATCTGAGGACCCACAGGTTGAGGATCGCTGGTTTAGTAAGTAACCCTTGGTGTCTAGCATAGAAAATGAACAGGCCAAATTTGAGGAGGTATCCCTTTATTTCAGTGTGGGATGGATATTAAAAAAAAAAAACATTGAAGTTTATTACATGTGGCACCCTCTCAGCTAGAAGGTTTGTGCCCTGTAATGCAGTGTTCATTTGAAACTAACCTGTGTTATGCTTCCTTTCTTCACTAGCTGGAAAATCAAACAGAAGTTCATCTAAACAGAGATTTCTTCTCAACAAATAGATCTGTAGCTCGTTCTGACACGTATGTCAACTTGCGTGAAGTCTCAAATCGATTCCAGCTGCCTCGGGGAGAATACCTGGTTGTGCCATCTACCTTTGAACCTTTCAAAGATGGAGAGTTCTGTCTCAGAATCTTCTTTGAGAAAAAAGCTAAAGCTCAGTATGTATTTTTTACCAGGAACTGTCAAAAGATGCTATCTCAAATACCCTCAATGTATGGAAGTGATGTCTTTTTCAGTATCTAATGGGGCTTCCTTCCATGGTGTTTCTGCTATCCATGTACTGATTAACACGGGAGTGGGAAAACTGTCTCCCTTTCCCAATAAATGTGATTGGACCAAGATTATCCACTCTTACCTTCATCCAACCCAGATCTTATGCAATCTTGCTCCCATCAGATTCTTCCAACATAAGCAAGAATGATGGGGTCTGTATCCCACAACAGTTGCCTACTATTGCAACTCTATATGTTTCAGTATACCTTTTTAATCATGACAGAGGTCATATACTAAAATATATTATAACACTGGAGATCACGGTTCAGATCTGTGCTCAACCATGGAAACCTATATTCTCTCAGCCTTTGAGGAAGGCAAAGGCAAACCATCCCTGAACAAATGTTGTCAGGAAAACTTTATGATAGGTTTGCCTTGAAGGCTGCCATCAGTCAGAGAGACAGTGATACACAGATGGCCTTGGATGTTACCAAAAGGAATGTTTCATCCCACACATTCCTTGTTTGCTCTCATACACTGCAATATTGTTAGACAAATATCTGCCTCAAAAATCTCTGTTCTGTGCTTCCATCTTGTGTCATCAGCAGAACTTGGAAAAATTACTCAGTAAAGTAATTTTCTGGACCACAGTTCCAGAATCCTTAAGCTAGCTTGGCCGTAGCCATGTTAGCCAGGGTATTCTGGGAATTGTAGTCACCCAGAGTTATCCTGGCCAAGATGCAAATTACATGAGAAGGTTTTCTCAGTGGTAACATCACATTTCTGGAACTCCACCAGGGAAGACATTCATTAGGATCTCTCTTTTCAAACAGATTATTTCTACAATCTTGATGATAATTCTTTTCCTATTCTAATTACATTTTTGAAAAATTACTCTATTAAATTTTTCTTGTTTCATACTGTACTTAAATGTATAGTTTATATTTTGCAGTTGCTTCATTTTACACGAGTGCAATTTTTTTTGATGTTGTAAGTCATGCTGAGTGCTCTGAGAGTATAACAGCAGGATACAAAAACATTATTTTTTCCCCCTTGGCAGAGAAATTGGTGACACTGTAGCTGCAAATCCATATGAGGTACGTATAATTGAAAAGAGTAACATTAACAGTTTTCTTTGGGGCAGTTTTATTCCAGGCCATACTTGGATCATGTAATGGTTGGCCTCATTTTGGGAATTTTACTGGGGCAGCAAAGGGGGAGCATCCAGTTGATGTTGTTTTCAAGGTTTCCCCTGTTTTCTTCTTTCCTACCCAACTCTCACAACCAAACCCATTCTTTTCTTTCTATTAAGGTAGAAGCAATCACATTTTAACATCTCCAAGAATTTAGTAAGCAATATGTTTCTCCAACTCCTGACCTCTCTGAAAAAAACACTAATTTTCCTGTTTCTGTGGGAACTGAGGACTTCAGGTTATATGTTTGTTCTGTAGCATAGTAATGGATGTAGTCCACTGTTTGCTCTGATAAAGCTTTCTTCACTGCTTCCTGCAGCCTAAGATTCCTAGGTATGAAAACTATAGCAGACAACAGCAGCAAGTTTTTGTTAGAAAAGACAACCTTTGTAGTACAAATTGAGTATCACTTATCCAAAATGCTCTAGACCAAAAGTGTTTGGATTTTGTGTGTGTGTGTGTCTGTCTGTCTGTCTGTCTGTTTCTCTCTCTCTCTCTCTCTCTCTGTGTGTGTGTGTGTGTGTATAATGAGTTATCTCAGATATGGAAACCAGGTCTAAACACAAAAATCCTTTATATATTTGCCCTGTAAACATAGGTTGAAGATACTTATGTTCATTATTTCAAAGAATTTTATGCATGACAATGTGTGTACACCAAACTATCAGAAAGCAAAGGTGTCACTTTCTCAGCCTCCCATGTGGACATTTATGAACTTTGGGGTAATTCCGATTTGAGAATTTCAGTTAAAGGATGTTCAACTTGCATGCAAGTTTGGTGTTACTTCCAGCAGTATTCAGCAGGCTTCATAGGCTTCAGCACCTTTTACAGACCACAGGTAGTCCCTGAGTCACAAGCATCCAATTTACAAATGACTCAAAGTTTAGAATAGGGACGAGACAACAGAAATTGAGAGGAATCTACTCCTTGGAAGGGAATTTCACTTTTGAAAAAGTTATCATGGGGAAAAGGTGTCTCAACTGAAGCTTTCTCACCAATCCTTGTTTCCACAACAAGCCACACTTTTCAAACTGAAATGTCACAGGAGCGGAAAGTGAGGTGAAATCTGAACAGGGGTACAGACAGAAAAACAAACAGCACAAGGGTGTTAACCCTTCCCTATGTTATCCAAAGCTTTTATATCTATCTATCTGTCTGTCTGTCTGTCTGTCTGTCTGTCTGTCTGTCTGTCTGTCTATCTATCTATTGTTACACTTAAAAAGAAAGAACAAACCTACAGAACCTTTCTTGTTCGTAACTTGGGGACAAGTATTCTGAAAAAACATTGTTTTGGACCCTGCACATCTATTTGTACCCCTGTGCTTACTGATAAAGTGTAATATTCACAATCACTTCTCCTTTAGCCTCATGTTGAAGACAAGGATGTAGACAACGAGTTCAAGAATTTGTTTGAAAAGCTTTCTGGAGAGGTAAGAGATTCTGGGTGCAAACAAAATGTATGAATAAAGATTTAGTATGAATTCAGAATCAGAGAAATATCTTTTAGATAATGATGTTCTCTGTTGGTGTCTTTTACTAACACCACCACACCTCTAGTTCGGCTTAAAAAATTGGTATTAGATTGTTTCTACTTGTATAAAATAATAAAAGATAAATTATTTATAGGGCTTTTAAAGTTCTATTTATTTATTATACTTTTTAGCCTTTTAACTTGTATTTTTTATTTTTATTTTTCATTTTCCATGTTATTATGTTGTTATTCTTTCATTTATATTTATAAGACATTTATATTTATAAGTGTTCCTGAATGCATGCATACGGTCTCATTTTAGATTTCTAAATGGAACAGTTGTTTCAGTTACAAACTTTTACTAATGCAGACCTCAGCTTTACTCAAATATCCCCTCTCCCTTCCCACTCAGTCTCCTTTCTCACCTTGTTCAGTGGACATCCATTTCCTCTCAACCCCATTCCTCTAATCTACAGGGATCAATTTGTTGCCCCTTGAGCCCACCCCCCAAAAGTGGGAATAAATGAAACTTGAAAAGAGCTCATAGTGGCAAAGCCAGTTTGCTGCTAGCAAACTTTGCTCTAGTGAGCTGGGACCACATCCAGTATCCCACAATGTGAAGTTCGCTATACCGTATGTGCCAAGAGTTCTGCAGAAATAGCACTAATGGTTACTTTCCAAAATAGTGTGTTCCTTTGTCTTGCCCATTGGTTTCTAACCTGTGGTCTGTGAACCACCAGTGGTCCCCAAGAATTAAAATATGGTCTGCAGCCTCACCGTTACTACATCGTTGCAACGAGAGTGAGTGGTCTCGTGAAACCCTCTTATAGTGCCGAGGCAATGTGGATGTCAGGAAGGTAGAGAATGACTACCCATGAAAGGTGCAACAACAAGCCTCCTGACTGCTGCTTCTCCTCCTCTTTCCTCCCCTGTGTGGAGCAATTCCATGTGGAACCTGGAAGTGGGGGTGCCTTGGTGTCTTCATTTTTAGGCCTGTTCCTGGGGTTATTTGGGGTGTTAATTTAGAAAATTGCATTGGATAGACCACATCAACTCTAGGTTATTAAATATGGTTTTCTGTGGGTGAGCAGCTGGCGACTACTGGATGGCATATGTTCTGCATCAGAAATAAGAACTTATGTGGTCTATCCAATACAGTTTTCTGAATCAGCACCTCAAATAACCAAACCAAATCTGAAGTTGACCAAAAATTGATTTGTAACCTTTTTGGTACTAATGTTGGAGAGTGGTCCCTGGTCAAGTGATCCCTGGTCAAAGTGGTCTCTGGTCAAAGAAAGGTTGGGAACCACTGGTATAGCCATTTTAAAAAGCAGGACATGCCAATCCATGGATTTTATCTTTAATTTCCCTCATCCCAGCTCACTTCCCAAAGAACAGAATACCATTTTGTTGTTGTTGTTGTTGTTTGCCTTTAAAACTCACCTCTCATGTAGTTTTCTCAGCAAGATTTGTTCAGATGGGGTTTGCCTTTGCCTTCTTATGAGGCCAAGAATACAAAAGCATCATGGAACTACTGGCCTGTCGACCCACTCCTAAATAATTGAGCAACTACAAGATAAAGAGGTTAAAAGATTAAAATTGATTAATTCCTTAAAATAGGGTTAGGGTGGTGGGCATGGGTAGGTAAAACTAGTGGCATGTCCATATTAAGTTTTTAAGTTTGAGTTTTGTTGATGGCAGCAAGGTCGCCTCTCTCTGCTTCCATCTTCTCACGGATGGCCAGCGCTTTTTGGGTAAAAAGGGTCAATTTTAAAATAGAGTTTTTATCTGAACCCTGAAGGAGGATGTGCAATTTCTCCTTATTCTCTAAATGAATATGGTATGTTTTGCATGTTTTGATATGGTCAAAATTGACTAATCAATAAAGAATTGTTGTTGTATGAGGCCAAGAGTGCTACTTACCCAAGGTCACCCAGTAAACCTCCATTGACTAAGTAGGGATTCAAACTTGGTTTTCCAAAGTCTTGTTCCAACACTCAAACTATTACCATGACCATTAAAAATAAAAAGTGTAATTGCAAGGAACTGGATCTCCACGTACTAATTGAGGAAACTTGGTTCTGGTTAGCCCAGAGTAAGTTTCCCTTGGGGATGTATGCCAAATGGATCTAAGGGAGGATCTTGGTTTAGAGCAGAGGAAGAATATCAGGCTATATTTCAGAGGAAGGGACTGGCAAAAGCAACTTCTGAGCTTCCTTTGTCTAATAAAACCCTGTGAAATGCATGGATTTGCCACAAATCAATGGCAGTCTTAGTGTCCTGAATTTTTTGAACTTCAGCACTTATCCAGCATGACCAGTTGTCAGGTATTTTGAGAGCTGTTATCCAAAACATCTGGCAGTCATCAAATTGTTAAGAAGTTAAAGGTTTGGGGACCAGGTTCGTGTCCTTTTTACTTTGTCTCTTTTCCTGTTTTGTGCAGGATTGTGAAATGACTGCAAATGAGCTTCAGACTATTTTGAATAGGGTGATAACAAAGCGTAAGTTGCAATCAGTGTTTCATTACAGTGGGAGAAGGTCATGATAATCGTAAAAGTATCAGCAACTGGCATTAAGAATGATATTCAGAATATGTCTAAATATCTTTTACCTGAAATGTTTGGGACCAGAATATTATGTATATTGGACTTAACCCCACCAGATTTTGGAATATTCGCATATGCATAATGAGATAAACACAAATGTATTAAAATGTTTCATGAACACCTTATACACATGTGTACACTGAATCATTAGAAAGCAAAGGTGTCCCAGTCTTAGCCACTCCTATGGATATTTGGATTTTGAAGTATTCTAGAAATTAGAATTCCAGATAAGAGATATGCAACCTTATTATGCATTGCTAAATATTGTGCAAATCAGAAACACTAAAAGTAGACATTTCCAAAATTGTCCAATTTCTATGGGGTACAGATCCCATGAATTATGGTCACCACAGATCTGAAGAATGAATTGTAATTGTTAAATTGAATTATTTCATTTTCCAACCAAATGCCTGTGAAATAGTATGGGCCAAAGTTTAGTGAAATCAATATGGTCTCCAATAAATAGGCTCAGATTAGTTTGAGTTGGAATGACCTCTGTTGCCATCATTAATTCACCATAAATAGTATGCCATCTGTAATACTTGCTTTATATTAGTTTCCAAAACTGTATTTTAGATTTCAACTTTTATTTTATATTCTATTTTTATTTATATAATATTTAAAAGTAAATATAGGAATCCAACTTTATTTAATTGTTTTTTTAAAGGTTCAAAACAGCTGCTTTCTAATGGAATCAGTATTTGCCCAATAATCACATTTTCCTGATGATGTTCCCATAATCTTGTTTTTGTGAGGGGTCCAGCTGTCTTCCAAATGAGGCAAAACAAGGAATATATTTTACTTTAATTGCAGAGGCTAACTAGGCATGACGATGGCTCCCCAGTGTTTCCATAGGATGCAGATAAATATTTGTCTAACAATTTCTGCCTCTTTTTTATTGTATAGGAACAGACATAAAAAGTGATGGATTCAATCTAAACACCTGTCGGGAAATGATCAGCCTCTTAGATGTATCCTTTAAGTGTCACTCTTCTCTCGTGGATTTCCCTCGTGAACCTGTTGACAAGAGGCGGCAAGATTTACGTGTCTCATTTTCCTGGCACACCTGTCTTCACTTGCTGGAGGCAGAAAGCGTGGAATGTAGATCTAAACAGTCTAATACGGCAAGGAGAGTAATCCTTTATTGCTAGTTGCATGGCTGATTGCTTCCTGTCTTACATTTCTGATCTGCTTGGATGCACAAAGGCATCAAGAGTGTAGTGGAGCCAGGTCTTGCAGAGATGGAGTGTCCACACGATAAGGAGGGAGGATGAAAGCATCAAGATGCCCCATTCCCTTGGAGCTTAATTGCAATCCCTATGGAAGGAAAGCAATGTATTGTTATGAGCTATCCTTATGGTAATGCAGAGTATTATGGAGATAACTGAAGCAAATAAGATCTGATAGCTTTACAGAAGCCTTGCTACCAAAGCACATGAATACTGCTTTAATACATCCCAAACAAAAAAAAATCTTGGTGTCTTGGTTTTTAAACCTCTTTCTGGGGTTATTTGGGGTACTCACTCAGAAAATTGCATTGATTAGCCCGTATCAGATAGTTTCTTAGATCTGGTTATCATGGTTTTCTATGGGCGAGCAGATAAAGACTAGTACAGTGGTCCCTCGCTCCTTCGTGGTCCGCTTATCGTGGACTCACTGTTTTGTAGCTTTTTAAATTTTTTAAAAAAATCACCCTCCTTACCATATTCTTCCTCCTCCTCTTCGCTGCTTGGGCCCCATGTGGTGTCACAGCATGAGGCCCAGGCGACAGATGATGAGGAAGCCCCCTCGCACTTCTTACCATCTTCTTCCTCCTCCTCTTTGCCGCCTGGGACCTCTTGCTGCCACTTGGGCCCCATGCAGCATCGTGGCAAGAGGCCCAGGGGCGAAGAGGAGGAGGAAGAAGATGGTAAGGAGGGCGAGGGGGGAAGGTGAGGGGGCATCCCTACATCACGGAATTTCACTTGTCACAGATGATCCAGGAGCGTAACACCCGCAATGTGAGGGACCACTGTATATAGCATACATTCTGTATCTCAAAAACTAGAGATGATAGGGGGAAACCGGTGCCATTTTTGGAATCAGCAGGTCAAATATACCAAGAAAGAGGACTAACATTTGAGGCACCAAAATATGTGTTGGCAGTGCAATTAATTCAAACTTATATCTTGTCTTTCTCCTAGCAAAATATTCAAGGTAGCTGATGTCTTAATACAGCTCAGTATAGCTGCGTGTAATTTCTGACTCACCTTGATGTTGTGACTGTCAGGACAATCACAATGTGTATCTAAACTCTGAATTTTCCACACTATATTACTGCATGTCACCACCTCCTTGGACTTAGCAACAACAAGCTAAGTTGTTATATATAAACTGGATATATCCCTAGTCAGGTCAGGCCGTGTGTTTTCCACCCTTTATGCCTGAGAAGGTGTCAGCAGAGATTTGGAGAACTGTGAGAAGGGGATAAGCCATCAAGCCAGAACCAGTTCCTCCTACCCATATGGCTCAGGAGATATGAGAGATGGAGGACCTGCCAAGCTTCACAGCATGTTCTTCTCTCATAGGAGAGTAATTAAAAATGCAAATGGTTTAACTTGCTAGAATGAGTTTATTATAGATGTGTAGCCAGGTGGCTGGCAGAAAGCCACAGACAGGGCTGTAGGGGGGGGAAGCTGTAATTTAGAAGAATAATTCTTGCTGTTTCAGCATCAATTTCAATGAGTTTGCATAGTAGGAATATTGCAACTGGACTGGGCTGGATTCCTTGATTCTTCCAACTTGAATCCGGCGTGAACTTATGAAGAAACTTTGAATGTGTATGCTTCCGCACAACCTTAAACTTTTGAAATCTCTCCTTTAAAACTCTTTCGGTCTCTGTTCCTGTTCCTGACTTGGGGCTCTTTCACATTATAGAGTTATTGTCCCTTTGGGGAGATAGGGCGGGTTATAAATAAAGATTTGATTTTAAAAAATTATTATTATTATTATTATTATTATTATTATTATTATTATTATTTTACTGACACAAAATCACAGTATGTCACAGCAAATGAGATCTATAGGCTGGATTATTATTATTATTATTATTATTATTTGATACATTAGTACACAGCAAACAAGATCACTATGCTGGCTTTTGTATTTGATCACACGTAGGACACTTCCCAAGCGTCTAGGACTGGTGATATATCGGTGAATAATGCGTGCAGATCCCAGTAAGGTGGCCTTCTGCAGCTGGCAGATGGTAATTTTGTCAGTGACTATTGTGTTTAAGTGCAGGCCATGGTTTTTAGGCACTGCACCCAGTGTGCCGATCACCACTGGGACCACCTTTACTGGCTTGTGCCAGAATCTTTGCAGTTCAATCTTTAAATCTTCATATCATGTCAGCTTTTCCAGTTGTTTCTCTTCAATCCTGCTGTCACCTGGGATTGCAACATCGATGATCCATAGTTTGTTTATTAACACAATTGTGAGGTCAGGAGTGTTGTGCTCCAAAACTCTGTCCGTCTGAATTCGGAAGTCCCAGAGTAATTTGACGTGTTCATTTTCTGTAACTTTTTCATGCTCGTGATCCTACCAGTTCTTTGTCGCAGGCAGATGGTATTTGTGACACAAGTTCCAATGGATCATCTGAGCCTCTGCTTGTAGTTTGTCTCCATGATCTTCTTTCAGCAGATGAGGATCTGATCCATCATTTCATCTGCTTCCTTGCAGAGTTTACACTTAGAATTTGTCGTTGGCTTTTCGATTCTGGCTTTGATGGTAGTGGTTCTGATTGCTTGTTCTTGGGCTGCCAGAATCAGGCCCTCGGTGTCAATTTTCAGAGTTCTATTTGTGAGCCACATCCATTTTTTTCATTATTATTATTATTATTATTATTATTATTATTATTATGCAAAAGACTGAAATGGAAAAGTTGAATGGCCTATACCTTTTCAAACTAGAGATGGGAAGGATCATAACTCCCCAATATTTAACAACAACTGCTACATAAAGGTCCTTGAGTTAGAAGACTAGTTGAGTAGGAAGGGAGCTATATCAGAACCTCTTTCCTTGATGTGTCTCTGTATGGCTTCATTTTTTGTAGCAACTTTTCTTTGTGAGGGGCATTTTAAAAAGGTGATCTTCCTTTCCCCTCAGGCACCAGTAATTTCAAACTGGTTCAGCCAACTTTACCACTTCAGGATTCTAACTCTACCACTTCCTTCACCATGCCCCCATTTATCTAACCACCTTTTTTGAACCCTTCTTGTTCCTTCTTGCTTCACAGATGTTTCCCTATTGTTTCCCTTTCCTCTATTTCCCTAGCTCTTATATGCGTATCAGCTCATATTGATCTGTATGCCTCTCTCGTTCTGTACACAAAGACATGACCCTTTCTATGTACAAATCCCTCTGCAAGTTTCTGTAGCACCAGAAACAGATAACTATTTTTAAGATAGTATAAGATAAGAAAATGGGAGGAGATATTGCTTTTGACTCGATGTGTACCTCTGGTTCCTCACTGTCATCTTTGAAATACCACAAAAACTTTTTACTAGAATCAATAACCAGACAGTTGCATACTGTGATGGCAAAACTACTTTTTTCATACCTTTTCCCACAGTTTGAGAACCAAAAAGAAGCCCACACAATTTTCTGTCTCCTGTCAAAGGAAGGCTTTTCTGAATCATCCTGCCCTTACTTTCCATGCTATTCAACTGTCTCAGACTTTTGCTCTCTCCCTGCACTTCATGCTGTCTCTATTTTCTGTCCATTATACCCCTGAGTAGGAATTAGATCGCTCTGAATGCCTCCTAGCATGTTGTTTGCTTTTATTTGGACAGGAAAGAGGAACGGTACTGCTTCTTCTCTGAATTGAGAGTAACAGTCGGCGTCATGCCTGGGTTGTGGGGATGATTACAAGGGCTGTAATTGTACTCTGTACAATTAAAGAGCTGTTGAGCTAACAAAACCATTTCCCAGAAGAATGGGGCTTCCCTTTGTTCAATGTGAAGCGAAGCAAGATGCAGACTTGGTGACATGGTTGTAGACTCCACATGCTTCCTATACTGGTTCTAATAGTCTATTTTCGGGCTGTCAGAACAGATCTTGCTCATTATCTATTTTGTTTTGAATTCAAGAGAATTTTTAAAAAATCAACAAATTCAAATATTTCTTTAGAGTACAGCCAAAAATTGAACAAAGTAGACAGATTCTCAAGATTGAAAATCAATAACTGGCCAGAGAAAAATTATTTATGATTCCAATGTCTTTAAGACCCTTTGAATTATTATGGCCCCACATCAGAAAATACTGCATGAAATTTACCACTTTGATCATTTTTGTTCTTGTATCTCCCAAAGCCTCTCTTTGTTTCTATTGACTGATTTCAGAAGTTTACACCCTTCTTCTGTTACTCCAAAAAAGCAGACAAAGTGGCTGACAAAATATGGGAAGCATAAAAACACATGCACAACACTCAAATACACGCAATAAAACAGTCAGTAAAAAACTTAAGTAGCAGCAGAATCAGACCCCTTCTACGCTGCCATATAAAATCCAGATTATCTGCTTTGAACTGGATTATATGGCAGTGTAGATTTATATAATCGAGTTTAAATCAGATAATGTGGATTATCTGCTTTGATAACCTGGATTATATGACAGTGTAGAAGGGGCCTCAGATGCCACAATCATGTAACTAAGAGGATATAATCCAATAATGTTTCAATCAGTTGAAAATAGTTGCACTCGGGTCCCTTCTACACTTCCATATAATTCAGATTATTCAAGCAAATAATCCACATTATTTTGGAAAATGGCATTTATAAACTTTTGGAAATCACCATTTGGAGATCATAATTTTTTAAAGAAAAGCATGATCTTTCAGAGAAGATCCCTTTAGAGCAGTATCTTCTCTGGTGGTATACAACTATATATAATTATGCTAGGTAATGGTTTTCAGTTGTTAGATTGAATGACCTGTTATCTCAGATCTGTAAGCAAAACAGAGATTTTGCCAGTGCATAAAAAACAGTAGTGCTTCAGAAGTGTTTTTCAGTGCCCAATATATATATATATATACTCTCCCATAAAACATCTTGTTTTATGTCATGCACACAAGAGACAAAAATGAAGTTGACTTTGATTTAAAAAAAAAATAACATATTTGGTTTACTCACAACCTTCATGTGTTCAGCATACACAAATACAAAACTTATCAGTCCAGTTTCAGATATGTTTGAGATAATTTTCTGTGCCATTCGGCCAGGACATCTCCTACAGCAAAACAGCAAGCAAGTGTGTGATCTGAGGTCTGAAATGTGCTATGATCATGTGGCAACCCCTTTTATAACTTCTCAGGAGTAAAGGAAGCTGCATACCACAGAGTAAAGGAAGCTGCATACCAGAACATACAGACAACAGTAAGCAACAGGGTCATAGATAAATATTACTAGAGAAATCTTGAAGAAGGTTGTCATTTCCAACACATTATCTGCTTTGAACTGAATTATGAGTCTACACTGACATATAATCTTACTAGCTTACCTGTCCAAATGTATATCCTCATATGAACCATCACGGAGATTAAGATCATCTGGGAAGGCCCTGCCCTCTGTCTCACCACCCTCGCAAGTGCAGCTGGTGGGGACGAGAGGCAGGGCCTTCTCAGTGGTGGCCTCTCATCTGTGGATCTCTCTCCCCAATGAAATCAGAACAGCCCCCTTCATCCTGTCTTTCAGGAAGAAAACTTAGGACATGGTTATGGGACCAAGCATTAGAGTAGTAAGTATAGCAATGCAATACCTGAGATCTCTTAAAGTGACGGACTAATAGACCGATCCCAGACTACGATTTTGAATATGCATGATTTTAATTGCTGTTTTAACAATCTATGTTTTATTGTTGGTTTTAATTGTAATGTTATTTTTGGGAATCTGTTTGTTTGTTGGGCATCGAATTGTTGGTGGTTGTGAGGCTGCCCTCAGTCCCCTTAGGGGTGAAAAGTGCAGGGTACAAGTATGGGAAATAAATAAATAAGTAATCCAGTTCAAAGCAGATTATCTGGATTTTATGGCAGTGTAGAAGGGGCCCCAACTGAACCTCATCTTGTGCATGAGGTCAGGTTTTAGTCAGGTTGAGGAGTATGTGTAATGTCTTCAGTGAGTCTCCAAGCTCTTTATCACTGTGCAGTGACAATGCTATGATCTCACTTGAACTGCTAAGGCAACATTTAATGGAATCGCAAGGTTTGTAGTTTGGTGGGACACAAAAGCTGATAATTCTAAATACCGTTTCCTAACATAAAATCATTACAATTTTAATATATGTTCTCCTAAAATCACGCCATCCATTGCTGGTGTGGTGTAATGGTTTACGACTAGGACTAAAATTCTTGGAGACAAGGGTTCAAGTCACCATTTAGCTGTATAAACCCACTGAGCAACTTCGGCAAGACTCAATCTATCAGTCTCTTTCTCAACCACAGAGGAAGGCAATGGCAACCCCCCTCCCCAAATGAATCCTTCCAAGAGAAACCCATGATAGGTTCACTTCAAAGATATGTCAAAAATAACTGTAAGTCATAGAACCACAATAAACTGCAAATCCCATAACATCAGAGGAGATTGCCATGGTGGCTGAAGTGAAATGTAGCAGAGTAATAATGTAGCTTGTACTCATAGGGAAGTATGCATAAATCATAGCTGTTGAATACCAAAATACTAGTTGCTGTTCCAGGTGCTCTTAACGATGTCGCGTTATTGAAATACAGAAAATGTAGGCCTGGTGTTGATAAGTGCTTGCCTGGGAAATCAGTGGGACCTGCTTCTAAATCATTGTGAACTTTCTAAAGGAAGGGGAAAAAAAGAAAATGGAATAATAATAATAATAATAATAATAATAATAATAATAATAATAGCAGCCTAAAATGCGTGCACAGAAAGGTTGGTAACCTTTGTCTTGTACTTAAAGATTTCAAGCAAACAGCAGCTTCTTATAGTCAAGGGAGATCTATGTGACTCTAGAAAACTCTAATATATAACGCTGCAAAGGAGAGTCCAGACGTCTCCAGCCTTATCTAAGCAAACTGAAAACAGAAGGTGTGTCTCCTCCGGGTGTGTTGATTCATGCATCACGCAAAGTGGCGCAGTGTACATTTTAATGAGTCATTAATTTTATCCAGGCTGGGCGCTGCTTAAGGAGGAAAATATTTTCAGATTTGGATTATGAGACCTTAACCCTCTCCAGAACCATGGCACTGGAAGCTTGGGACTTGCAGAGTTCAAGATTCTATGGATGAAGATTCAGAGATATCTGGTAAAAGGAATGGACTAAATTATGAGATTTCAAAATGCAATTTCTTTTTCGTTAAATTCTTAAATCAAGGGCTTTTTATACCAGGAAGCAATTTATGTGCAGCTGTCGGGTATATATGTAGTGTTTTTCCAAATTAGAGTCCTGTTCCTTTTGGCCTACATCTTACAGAGTTGTCTGCTTTTCTCCTAATTAATGTTTGTGTTCATAATTAGACAGCTTTTGCCTTACAGTTTGCTCAATCAGAATGGTAAATTACATTACACAGAATTCTGGAACTGGATTAGGTGCAGGGTGTGCGATTCAAACTACTGGAATCTTATAATTGGTGTTTGGAAAAATTACTTTTAGGACCACAATACTCAGAATTCTCCACCTAGCACCTGCGAGTTGTAGTCCAGAAGTAAAAGGGGTTGTGGCTAGCACAGCAGGTTAAACCGCCAGCTACAGAAGATCTTGCCGACCGGAAGGTTAGCAGTTTAAGCCATGGGTCGGGGTGAGCTCCTGCTATCAGCTCTAGCTTCTGCTTCACTAGCAGTTTGAAAACAGCAATGTGAGTAGATAAATAGGTACCACTTTGGCAGGCAGGTAAAAAGGCACTCCTGGAGACATGCCGGCAATTCAATCAGGAAGACGTCCATTGACAACAGGCTCCTCGGCATGGGAAATGGAACAACAGCACCTCTCCGTGGCCGAGTCAAGCACAGCCTGCAGATGCTGGAGATGAAAAAAGAGGGAAAGCCTTGCCTCTGTTTATGTACTGTCTATCTTTGTTGTCAATTTTATAACAGTACTAAATGTTTGCTATAATATGTACCCTGCAATCTGCACTGAGGCCCCTCGGGGAGATAGAGCGGAATATAAATAAAGTATATTATTATTTTATTATTAACACTTGTCCGACTGATGTATTTTGCTTATTATTTTCTTCAGATAGTAGCGGTTTGGAGTATGTAAGGATCTGTGTTAGTATGGTTATTCCTCTCATTTAACACCAGACGAACACAGACGAGTTTAGTTTTTACACACTCCAAACTGCCACAGTCTGTAAAGAATAAGCAAAAGACATCATTCAGTCAAGCGAAACCGCCATACATATCATTCTACATGTCTTCTGTATTTGGAACAGACACACTGTATACTTCTCTAAGAAGCATCTGGAAGATATTCCAGGATGCCTTCATTCATTTTACAAATGGGAAAAAACGAAGGCTAAGAGTCTCAAGTCTGACACATAATGTCAGAAAACTCAGAAGCCATTGAACCTAAATAAATTAGGAGATTAAACTCATTCACAGACTGTAAAATCAAGTGAAACCACAACAGTGAATTCAAAAGTCATTTAGAGCAAGGGACAGAGTAAGCATAGCCACAGACTGCACAATCCGTGAAGATGAGCATCACACTTTGCTTTGCCTAGCATTCATATTTTTCAGGGCTTTATCCACATTTTCATTTTGGGGGGCAGAATATAAAAGGTTGCATTTAAAATGAATGGCCATAATATCTTGCTAAAGCAATGGTAGGAGGATAAATCTCAGAGCATCATTCTTCTGCGACTCGGTTATGGATGTCTTCAGCGTTCATTTATTCATCTTAAAAGTCGCTTTCTATTTGAGGACAATGACTGAGGACAGCTCTTACCCTTAAGGTCTATTTGAGGATAACAATGTCAGATTTAGAATATAGGGGAGGGGGGAGACAGAAATGCCACTGTTTTGGCCTCTATCACGTATATGAAAATTACATTAAAATTATGTTAATTAGGCAGATCATCCCTCCAGATCACCAATATCTTGTTGGGCTCTGAGTGCTCATATGTACGATCGATTCCTTTTACAGTAGAATGTGAATTCAAAAGAAACAGACATGGTGGAAATTCTTGCTGAGTTACAGGGCAGAATTGCTTCTAATTTTGCAGCTACAGCTGGGTAAGAAACCATTTGGTGCTGGGAAATGTCTGTTGTTCTTTTAAACCATTTCGCTCAATAGTGTTTTATATTCCTGCGGTTGTCAGACTAAGGGGTTATTTCTCAAGGGCCCGTTTGCTATGTGGGTGGGCAATCTGCTTCCCAGGGCACACAGCTTGCTATTAGTTAATTGACATCGCCTCCTTTACAGTTATTAGCACTTTCAAATAAACCAAGCTTCCTTTCTTGACAGGAGAAGCAGTTGCAAAGCTTGAGGAGCAAACCAGGGGTGCATTTACACTGCAGAGTTAATGCGGTTTGAAAACTCTGTCATGGCTCAATGCTATGAACTCATGGAAGATGTAGTTTTACACTATTTTTCATAGATTCATAGAACTATAATTGAAACAGACTTTGTGGGCCATCCAGTCCAACCCCCTGCCAAGAAGCAGGAAAATCACATTCAAAGCACCCCTGAGAGATGGCCATCCAGTCTCTGTTTAAAAGCCTCCAAAGAAGGAACCTCCACCACACTATGGGACAGAGAGTCCCACTGCTGAACAGCTCTCACAGTTAGGAAGCTCTTCCTAATTTTCAGCTGGAATCTCCTTTCCTGCACTTTGAAGCCATTGCTCCATATCCTAGTCTCCAGGGCAGCAGAAAACAAGCCTGTTCCCTTCTCCCTATGACTTCCCCTCATATATTTATGCATGGCCATCATGTCTCCTCTCAGCCATTTCTTCTGCAGGCCAAACATGTCCAGCATTTTAAGATGCTCCTCATAGACTTGTTCTCCAGATCCTTGATCATTTTAGTTGCTCTCCTCTAGACACTTTCAAGCTTGCCAACATCTCCTTTCAACTGCGGTGCCCAGAATTCAACACAGTATTCCAGGTGTGGTCTGACTAAGGCAGAATAGAAGGAGAGCATGACTTCCCTGGATCTAGACACTAGACTCCCATTGGCTTTTTTAGCTGCCGCATGACATTGTTGGCTCATGTTGAACTTGTTGTCCACGAAGACTCAAAGATCTTTTTCACATGTTCTGCTACCCGTAAGAGTGTTGGTGCCTCACCAAACTATTTATTTATTTATTTATTTATTTACTTTACTTGTATACCGCAGTTTCTCAGCCTAACAGGCGACTCAACGCGGTTTACAACAAAGGTACAACAGTCAACAATATACAATTTAAAACCATAAAAGCATAATACACAATACACAAACTAGAACTCCCATTTTGTTTTATAGCACAGAACTAAGGCAGTTAAAGTGGTTTCTAATCACATTATTTCTATAGCAGCCCAAGTGTTCCAAAATTGTATGAAATAGCTGGTTATTGTATCTCCCTTTTCTTTTGCCTAGGAAATCTATAAGAAAGTAGATGCTGACCATTCTGGAACTATAGATGCACATGAAATGAGAGATGCTCTCAAGGAAGCAGGTATGCACACTATGGAGCAATGGGATCCCCTTTTCAGAGAATCGCTTCTGTAACGATATTTGCCAAAGAAACCTATGAATCTGCCATGAAACCCAAGATTCACCCAGGAAAAGGTGTTTTGTGTTGTTTTTTTCTTCTTATGGTTAGGTCAATTCAGCTTCATTGCATGTTCCTTCAACTCATGTTGGGTTGTTGGTTTCTGAATGTTCCAAATGTTGGGTTTATTACTATGAAAAATGCAAAGGGAATTCTCAGATAGTGTGTTCCTGAAGGCTTTTAATAGCCAGAATGACTAGGTTGCTGTGAGTTTTCCAGGCTGTATGGCCATGTCCCAGAAGCATTCTCTCTTGATGTTTCGCCCACATCTGTGGCAGGCATGCTCAGAGGTTGTGAGGTCTGTTGGAAACTAGGTAAGTGAAGTTTATATATCTGTGGAATGTCCCTCCAGTTCACCAGTCTTGCAGCTCTTCTGAGGCCACAGACATCAGAAGAGCTGCAAGACCAAGAACAAGCCACGAGAGTAAAGACAAAGATCCACCCAGAGGAAAAGTGTTCTTGCCATGCATCAAGGGAACCACTGACCACATAGGGAAGCTGATGAAGAAACACAATATACAAACTATCTACCACCCACTAAGAAAATCCAACAAATGCGACATTCAGCAAAGGACAAGAGGGATCCTCTCACCTCTGCAGGAGTCTACCATATACCATGCAGCTGTGGATAAGTCTACATAGGGACCACCAAACACAGCAATGCCTAAACATGAATCAAGGAACATGAAAGGCATTGCAGACTACTTCAACCAGTGAAGTCAACCATAGCAGAACACCTGATGAACCAACCTGAACACAGCATATTATTTGAGAACACAGAAATGCTGGACCAACTACCATGGCAGACTACACAAAGAAGCCATGGAAACCCACAAGCATGTGGGCAGTTTCACCAGAAAGGAAGAAACCATGAAAATGAACACAATCTGGTTACCAGTATAAAAAAACTCCAAAATCAGGACAGTAAATAAAGAGGAACACTAAAAAAAAGAAGAAGAATTCCAGACAAGAAACAATCAGGGTTGACTAATCACCTCCCAACAAAGGATTCCCCCAGACAGGAAGCAGACAGGCTTTGAAGCTGCAAAGCCATTCAATGCTAATCAAGGTGGCAAATTGAAACATTCACACTTGCCTCAAACAGAGAGAGTTGTTTCTTCCATCCTGGACATTCCACAGATATATAAATCTCATTTACCTAGTTTCCAACAGACCTCACAACCTCTGCAAATGCCTGCCATAGATGTGGGTGAAATGTCAGGAGAGAATGCTTCTGGAACATCGCCATACAGCCCGGAAAACTCACAGCAACCCAATTCTCAGCTACATTGTAAAATCTTTTAGAATGAATATGACTGATATTCCCACTATTTGTTTATTAAAATCAATCCCTTCTATGACAAGAATCAGGACAGATTATAATGATCAAAAAATACAGAAATAACCCAAATTCCAAGGAAGTGTAGAAAATAGTCGGATAAGAACTGCAGTGTCAAAAGACACAGAAGTTGTTTTTTTAAATGTCTTACTCCCTGGCCTTACACCTATTACTTTGAAATGAGTCCCACTGATTTCAGAAAAATATATTGACTGTTATATGCTGTACAAACCTCTAGTTTGTTCACTATGTAGTCAGTCTGCTTATTTTCCCTGCATGATTCCTCCTTTATATAGGATTCTAACATGAAATCTCCATGTTTATGGAAAAGGCTCCTTTCAGCTCACATTTGTGCTGTAAGGGGGGAAAAAAAACTATTTCTCTTCTTCTTCTCTTTGTTCTTTTCATCTCATATTTATGCATCAAACGACGACATAGGAATAAATATTTCCCTTCTCCTCTTTTGCCCTTTTCTTAATCATGCTGAAAGGTAGTTGCATGGCTTGCTTCCTTGTTGTTGTATTATATGAACAGTATACGTGAATATAGCATTTTAGTTCAACACAAACTGGAGCCATGGTGGTGCAATGGGTTAAACCCTTGTGCCGGCGGAACTGCTGACCTGAAGGTTGGTGGTTTGAATCTGCAAGACAGGATGAGCTTCTGTCTGTCAGCTCCAGCTTCCCATGTGGGGACATGAAAAAAGTCTCCCACAGGATTGTAAAACATCGAGGCATCCCCTGGGCAACATCATTGCAGAGAGCCAATTCTCTCACACCAGAAGTGACTTGCAGGCTCTCAAGTCATTTCTGACATGAAAAAAGTTCCATACAAATATTTTAATTCACATATGTCAAATGCAAATATGCACATATGCCAAACCTGGCCTGTTGTGTCATTTTATATGGTTCCTTAGATGCCAGACTAAAACTTCTATATTCCCCCATCATTAGAAATCATGACTAGAACTGATGGGAGTTGTAATACAGGAACATTTAGAAGGCTGCAGTTTGTTCTGTATACTCAGGATAGTAGGGTTTAAACTGAGACACAAGACTTGTGGATATGATGCCTGATTTCTAAATATCCTTTAACCTTTCCCCAACCTCAGAGCCTCGAGTGCAGTTGGATTGTGATTCCATTATCCCCAGTTTGTATGGCGGATAATCAAAAGTGACAAGAGTTGTTGTTCAACAACATCTAGGATTATGTGCAATGATTATGGAATTGGCTTTGTACCATGATTTTTGGATGGCATGATTTTAATACTAAATATAATTTTAAAAATGCTTAATCTGTATTAATTTTAACTCAATTGATTCTGAGTTTTTAATGTATGTATGTGTTGCAAGGCATTAAATAAATGCCACATGTAAGCCGCCTTGAGTTCCCTTCAGGGTAGAGAAAGATGGGGGTATAAATAGGGTAAATAAATAGGGACTCAAACTGGGTAAAAACTAAAGAGCACTGACTACTATGTAAAAAATATATAGGTGGCCCTTTGTATACAATAATTCTCCATCTATGCATCCAATGTCCCTTTGAAGGCAACTGTTAGGCTGATGTGGCCCTTGATGTAAATGAGTTTGACACCCCTGTTTTAAAGGGACTCTGCCATATGAAATTGCTGAAATAGGACTTTATCACACCAACACACTATGTCACAATAATCACATTAGTATGGATAATGAATAAGTTGAGAGCTTATTCATTATCCATATCCATACAGTATCCATTATTCAATATGGCACTTCTCTTCATTGGTGCAACTGTGCTGATTTGCTAATATGTGGTCCCACAACCAGACTTCCACAGCATGCATAACTCCATCTTCCTACTTTATTCCTTACCCAGGGTGCCTTTAATGCAATTGTGCAATTTCACCATTAAAAAAGCAAATAAACATCAATCATTTTAAATGGCCAGGAGTCTCAAAAACGGGGTATTGGTAGCATGGTGCACACATTGTAATGTAATAGCTACCATCATCAAAGGTGATAATCTATCTGCAGTGCCCCATGGGATAAAGTCCCTAAAATATCATAAATGTTGATTCTATTCATTAGGTTTGGTTTGATACCTTAGTTCCCTCTCCTCTCTCACTACAGGAATCAAATTAAAAAAGAAGAAGCTTGTATTCCTGCCTGTTTCTGCTTTTGTGAATGATTATAACTTATTCTATATTCATTTAAAGCTCTGCAAAGAATTGTCAGAGGTGTTCACTCTTAGATGTTGTGAGTCATGACTGAATTGGTCACAACGCTTTTCTTTATATCCCTGTAGATATCATTCCATGCATTAAATTGAGCTAGTCCATGAAAAAGCTTGTACAACAATAACTCTATTAATCTTTAAGGTTTCACAAGACTCTGTTGTTATTGCGCTGGGGGGAAGTATCTGGTTCTTTTTGGACAACAAAGAAATTATCTCTGCAATGTGAGAATATGCTGACTTTCAAAGACTGTGTTTCTTGTTCAGGCTGTAGTTAGTGCTGAAACAAAGCTTTAAAAACTGACAGTCCCTTTATAAATGAATTTGGCTTCCTGCAATGGGTTCTGGCTGGAGCACTTTAAAACTTCACTAATTAGGTGCTTAGCATCTGAATACAGGACAAGGAAACTCTTGTGAAATGGCAAAAATACATTACTTTGTGGGGGATTGTTTGGTCTGTACGACTACTTGAGAACAACGGGAACTGGAAAGGAGTATATACATATTATAGTAACAGAAAAATGATGAAAGGCCCTTCCACACAGCCTTATATCCCAGAATATCAAGGCAGACAATCCCACAATATCTGCTTTGAACTGGGTTATCTGAGTCCACACTCAGATAATGTGGGATTTTCTGCCTTGATATTCTGGGATATAGGGCTGTGTGGAAGGGTCCTTAATCTGTCTGAGTTAAGAAATCCTTTTATTTGTGTCTGTTTGTAGCTGCAAACCATACTTGCATAGGGAGAATTAAAAGGTGCTGCACTGGACCAGACAGCTACACATTCCTTTACTAATTCTAGGGTTTCCTTTTTCATAGGTTTCACTCTCAACAACAAAGTCCAGCATACTATAGCCGCCCGCTATGCCTGCAGCAAGCTGACCATTGACTTTGATGGCTTCCTGGCCTGCATGATTCGCCTGGAAACCCTCTTTAGTAAGTTTTCTCTGAAGCCAGAAGGAGAGTGGGGAAATCTTCTGGAGAACTAGTCCAATCTCGCTTCAGGCTTTTGAAGTAACAAGTAAAAGACTTACCCTTTCTTGTGACTAAAAGAATTGTATATTGTGACAAAATGAAAATCATGTGTAGCTCACATTTGACCAGCCCACACACTGCCTAGCCAGAGAAAAAAAAAATATGCCACGCAGATGAACAGTAAAAAAAACAAGTAGTTTACTTTTCGTAGTTCAGGAGAACATATTTACAATTATGTGATCAGTTGCATCGACTCACATAATGTCCTTTTATGGGAGATTTAAAATGGTCTTTCATTGTCCATGTGGATAATCTCCTTCAGCCGTTCATGAAGCAAGAGCACACTCCAAACTCTGTCTCTCTGTCTGCTTCTCTCTGCCTCAAGTCTGAAAAAATGTAACGATATCCAAAAGTCCCAGGTTCAGCCAGTTCTCTGGGCATAGCCCAACCAATCAGCTTCATGCATCTTACTTTACAGTTGACACACACACACTAACTGATTTCTTACATGCTCCAACATAGATCACTGAAAGAAAACTGTTGCAAAATATCTCTAATTTGCAAAATTTGATTAAGTGGCCAAACTGCCTCAGCTCCCAAGCTAGGACAAGATCCCAAACTTGCCAGCGCCTTTGTCCAATAAAGCAGAGGGAAATACAGAAAACACATTCTTTTTTCCTCACAGGTCAAACATAACTAATAAGCAGCTAAAGAACATGAACTAGAGGGTATAGTTGCACCTATTCATGGGCTTCCCATATGGACCATCCTATGAAATTTTGGGGTTCATGGTTTAAGAAAAGGTTATTTCTAATTCTCAGCAACACAACAAACTCTCTGATTCTATAAGCTGTTGCCATGGCAATTAAAGTGGAAGCACAGGGCTATAACTATGTAGTGTGAAAGGCTCCAGCTGTCAACTGTTGAATGAAATCACGTTCTGGTCCAGCGTGGTTGTCCTTATGAAGTATTCACAATCTTGTGCCTCCAGCCTCATTCTACCTAACGGTAGGGCCAACTTGGCAAACATGAATGTAGTTACTCTAGTAGCAGATGTGTGCAATAGATCTGGCTGTGGATTACATGCTGGATTGTATGAGAGGGTGTGCATATATAGATAATACTGCCTTGGAGCAGAAATGTGGGATTGCATGGCAAGAACAACTCTTGAGCTTGTGGCCAACTGTGAAAGCATCATTCTGAGGACATAACCTAAATTCCCACTTGAAGAATCCAGCTTCTGTAAATTACCCCCTTCCCCTGTTTCTGCTTCTCATGTAACAGGCTCTGATGTTTAAATATGACATCTTTTCACATTTTTCCATTCAGAAATGTTTCAGATGTTAGACAAGGAAAAACGTGGAACCGTCCAGCTCTCTCTGGCTGAGGTAAGGATGATTAAATGAAATTACATTTTGGTTAAATGATGACAGACTGATTATGATATTCTGCTGTAAAATTATATGAGGAAAAAAAGGTGTCTAGGGACCTGGGGAAGAAACACATTTTTCAGCCATAGTTGAAAAGACATTTTTAGAATTCAGTTCTACTCATTGAGAAACCACAGAGCCCTGATACATAGGTTTCAATCTGGCTCTATCCTTCTTTAGAGGAAAAAAATGCTTTTGGGGATTGCAGTTCCAAGAATTTCCCAGCCAGCAGGGCATCCAAAAAGTAGCTTTTTCAAGTGCAAATACCCAGGCATTATTACTATTCAGTTGGGCTTTTACCAGAAATGCTTTGTTCTGAATATTGTTATTCACATATACTTTCCCTTTAATAATAATAATAATAATAATAATAATAATAATCTTTATTTATACCCCGCCACCATCTTCCCAAGGGGACTCGCGGCGGCTAACATGAGGCCAAGCCTAACAATTACAATAAAGCAAAGTACAACAAGTAATAACATCAAATAAAATGCAAACAATAACAATAAAATGCAAATAATACAACAGGGTAAACACATGATATGAAAAAATGTTGAACACAGTGGGCTGGGACAAATGCAAGGGATAAAATTACAAAACCCTGGGTGAGATAGGTAAATAGAGTAGTGTATCTGGTGGGAGATTCAGATGGAACAAATGATGGAGTTTAATTTTCACTAGGGAATGAGATATGTGAATGCCCATAACATGGGCAGCAGCATTGCTGCAGTCCTGCTTTGTAGCAATTTGGTAGGCTTTACAGCCTCTGTAGCTGGCAACGGCTATAGAGACTGTAACTAACCTGCATAGGCACACCTTAGGATTTCTTTGACTCCCCAGAATTAGAGCACTATGATTCCACTTTAATTGCCATGGCAACATCCAATGAAATTCTGTAATTTGTAGTTTAGGGAGTAGAATTTTGAGCAATCTGGCAGGGGACTCTAGTTCTCACCAAACTACAAACCCCAGAGTGCTATAGGATGTTGCTGTGGCAGGTAAATTGGAATCACGGTGCTATAGTTATGTGGTATGAAAGACCCTCGTCCAGATATCTGTCTCTCTTATCTAGCTGACTCCACACCTTTCTCCCAGAACTGAGATTCAAGGAATCTCACAACAAGATTGAAACAGATATACATAAAACAAATAAGAAGTACAGATACATTGAAAAAAATATTGAAGTATAATGAAATTATAGTTTTAAAACACAACAAAGTACGTACAAAAATAGTACATAGTGAAAAAAAGAAATTACAGTATCAAGCAATTAAAAAGGCCTTTCTTAAACATCACCCAGGTGTCAAAAGCTTTGCATACTGATGGAGGGGACAGAATGGGAATTTGTCAGTTTCCCCAACTGAGGTCAAATTTTGAATTTCCGATTGCTTGAGAAATGTGTGTAAATTGCAGGGCATTTTTTTTGTTACCGGTACAATATAAACTGTGTAGCTTTTGAAAACTGTGCAGTATCTAAGAAAAAACCCATCCACTTCTATTACTTTTTTCTATACAAAGTGCAGAGAATGCAAAACTGAATTCCATATTATATTACTATGGAAACAACATGGTGAAGAATTTGACATCATGACTGTGCAACTCAAATGTGACATTGTAGTGATTTAGTTAGGACCACAATTAGAGAGTCTGTGCCTGGCGAGCATATACTAAACCAGATAGGCCAGGACAGAGAAACCAACTCACCAGGTTGGAGACAAACCACAGAGGTTTAAGGATGCAAGTACGGCAATTTGCTTCAAAATGTACAAGCACAAACATACAGAGAAATAGAAGACATCTTATATAGTTCTGACAGCTATTCAAACTTCCCTCTCCCTCCCCTGATTGGCTGAAAAAAGGTAGGCTAGGATCTGTGTCAGGGTTGATTGGGAGGGAGAACGGCAGCTGGGGATTGATCAGAGTGAAGGACCAATCAGCTGCAGAGATGCCCTCTGGGGGAACACAATCTGAGGAAAACAAATGGTAAAGCTATGTTGATGAACTTTTGATGCGCTCAAATGCCCAGATTCATGAAAACAAAGATATGGATCTTAGGAAACAAAGGTGCAAGACACAAGGGACTAAGGCGCTGATCTTGAGTAATCAAGAGCTTGGCTGTCAATAAAAGAGGTAATGAATGCACATAATCTAAGTTTCTATTTCCATGAAGGAGCGGCAGAATCTCAGCTCTATGTGATTTGTACGAACATTTGGGGGTTATCTGACTGGCAAAGGAAGTCAGCTATCTTTGCATCCACCCAAAAATCTAATTATTATCTGGCTTGGGAAATAGCCAGAGGGATTTGTCCATCCTTTTCCATTTCCAGGAGATTATTTGAACAGGATCACAGTGGTGGCTGTTTCTGTTTCTAAGTTACATTTTGATACGTTTCTAAGAAGCAGTTTATATACTTTTAATATATAAGAAACAGATACAGGATACAGTTGAAAGATACAAGTTACACAGAATCAGTAGATGCAATTTATTAAAGGGTTAGATACTATAGCGTTCTGGGGTTTACAAATGCTGCCGGTTTGGTCTTGATCTTCTGCTGCTTTGAACTTAGCAAGTCCAGAAAGGGTCTTTTTTCAATAGGAAAAATCACATATTTATTTCTGAGCCCTTGATGAACTATAAATCTTTGGGAGGAGGGGTTACCTTGGCTTGATAACAGCATAGCAAAAAAAAAAAAAGTAACCCAGTCTGATTGTGTCTGCAGTTATTGCCATTTTAAATTTTATGCCATTTCCTTTCAGTGATGAAAGCTGCACAGTTTTCAGTTTATATGCCAAAAGCATGTTTCCAGAAATCTATGTATTTTTCTGGGCAAGATGAGCAGCTGTACAATTTCCTGTCAATGCTGGAAAAGATCTGAGTGTTCAGAAGAAATGGAAGGAAAAAAATGTTTCATTGTTCTCATCATCTATCGGGAATCTGAAAAATCAAGATTTACTATTCCTGATCAGGGACAGGCTTTGAAAAGGCTGTTAACCATTACTTTGCAACCGCTGAGCAGTTTAAACAAATGGTGTTAGGGAATTTAACTGGTAAAGGGCTGGATTTGAATATCCTCTAGGCAACCATTCTTCAAAAGGGAGCCTAGAAACCCCAGAATCTTCTTTGTCCCTCCTAACATTGATTTAGCCCATTAGATGAGAAAAAATTAGTTGGTTGTCCAAATGTGTCCCTAAGAATCCCAACTATGAACCCCCATCAGCCATTCCAGAACATATAGAGATGGTAGAAAACATTACAGTGGTGGTATTTGCCACCAGTTCTGTCAAGCTTTCAATAGATGACTAAAAAATTAATTATAATTCTTGTCTTTTCTTTCTTATAGTGGCTGTGCTGCGCATTGGTCTGAAGCCCCATTTCTGAATTCACTTGTGGGCACCTCCACAATTTATTTTTTACATATAGATGTTTCTGGAAAATTGTTTGTTCCATAGACAAATGAGAAAAAGAAGCAATTTCAGTATCCAGTAATACACTCTAATGTAAAATGACCATTCAGAATAATAAACAAGATTATATGGAAACAACAAAGCAGCCCTGCATGAGTAATTGTTATTTACACATAATTAGTATCAAAGCCCACACTTCAAAATGGTGATTGGCTAAGATATATCTATTAATCATTTTAATTCATTTTATTACAGTTTAACAGTTTTCAATGTGCTTAGAGGAGCACAGAGTGTACATAAATCTTTGTCTTAACAGGGTTTACAGAATAAAAGCAGATATTCAGGCATTTTTTGCTTTCATTTAGTTCCTGGGCCTTAGTTGAACATTATCTCTAGCATTTTAAGCCATCCAGTTTGTTCTTTTATTTACATGCTCAAATTGTCAGTCTTCATATCTCTTCCTTTCCCTTCTGCCTTAAACGTAAATGAGAAGGTTAAACATAATCAGGATAAGGTGAGCTCCCTCAGAAACACTATGTAATCATCTTGTTTAGTTTGTGAATATTTGGAATATTTGGATAGTGATGGTGACAACAATCATATAATGGGATAAAATGTCACATACACCTCTAAGCAAACTTGGGTTGCATTTAAAAAAATCCAAAACAATAATGCACTAAATATCTGTAATTCCCACCACCACAAGCATTACCTTCTCTGAATATCTTTTTTGGTAGCATAAATCTGTATTAAGATAACACCTTTATTAGGTTCATCAAAAATCTACAAAATCTATTGATGGGATAACCAATAAAACATACTACTACAAAATGATAACTGGTAGAAAGTTATTTGTGCATTTTGGGTGCATCAAATTTTCCATTTTTGGTGAGCCAAATGAAGGAATTGCTCTAATGTGAACTTTGACATTTGTTTCATAGTCAATATCGTTCCCTCTGCATTTGTATTCCCACTATCATGGAGTTCCCTGTGTTACATTTATTTATTTATTTATTTATGTACCATATTTATGCCCCATAAGAGACTCAGGACGGCTCACATATATAGGCAGTAATTTGATGCCATAAGAACATTGTTTCCCCTGACATTAAGTCCAGTCGAGTCTGATTCTGGGGGTTGGTGCTCATCTCTATTTCTAAGCCGAAGAGCCGGCGTTGTCCATAGACACCTCCAAGGTCATGTGGCCAGCATGACTGCATCGAGCACCGTTACCTTCTCGCTGGAGTGGTACCTATTGATCTACTCACATTTGCATGTTTTCGAACTGCTAGGTTGGCAGAAGCTGTGGCTGACAGCAGAAGCTCATGCCACTCCCTGGATTCGAACCTGTGACCTTTCAGTCAACAAGTTTAGCAGCTCAGCAGTTTTATCCACTGCACCACTGGGGGCTCCCATAAGAATATACATCAATAAAATAAAAAAGTATATTAAAGCAACCATTAAAAGGGTTGCTGTGGGAGCAGGGCCTCCCCAGAAGATCTTAACCTCCTAGCTGGCTCATATAGGGAGATATGCTTGAACAGGTAAACTGGGCCAGAACCGTTTAGGGCTTTATAGGCTAAAGCCAGCATTTTTAATTGTGCTCAGTAGCAGACTGGCAGCCAGTGGGGCTCCCTGTGCTATTTTCTCCAGCTCTGCCATACAGTGAGCAAGCAACAGAGAGCAGCTCCAAATTAGCTTTCTGCTCACACTATTCATAAAAGCATATTTCCTCTCATAAAGACTCCTAACCTTGACAGGTTTGAGGAGAATCAAACATACGCGGAGTGGATGGTCTTGTTTGCTTGTTGTTTCAAAAAAAACTCCGCTGGGCAAGATATGTCTAATTACATTATTCCTAACACGGGTCTCAATGGCTCCCTTTTGCTCACCTGTGCCGGCAGGGCAGAGTGCTGCACTCCATCTGCCTTTATCTTATGAAGGCAGGCCCTCCTGGAGCAAGCGCTGCTCCTTATGTTTGTGCTTTGAGCAAGGGGAGCCAGTGTCAGACAGCAGTTGAAAAACATGGACTCTTTCCCCGTCTCTATGTCTGCTTTTCCTTTTCTCTTGAGGCTACATCTGTGAGAGGCTGATTGAGGTTGCCTTGTGTCTTTTCATCACGCTACAAACTGAACAAGCCTGTGCTCATCAATGCCTCTTCCCTCTGAGCTTTAGCTTGCCTCCAAAAAAGCCCGCAAGCTGCTTCAGGCAGGGACACGGTCGTCTGGAGTGAACAGGGTGGAAGGAGCCAAGAACTTTCAAGGATTTTTGGAGATAAGATCCTGATCCCTTCTATTAACATTGGGACAGACAACTTAATGCTGCGATTGCCCAGGAGTTCAAGCAAGTTACAAAGGATTCCCATTGCTCAAATACTGTTTGTCAGTTCTTACTATAGCAAATTAGCCATAAAAAGATAATGTCTGCTATTTTTTGGTTCTGGGATAAAAAGTCCTTTATGAAAAACCACAGACATTGAGTTATAATTTTTGTTGTTCATTTCGAATATTTATATCTCATCCTTCAGCTGAAAAGGATCCCAAAAGAGTTTGCAAATTTTTAATTTGACAGTTCCATGCCCCCAACTTTGGAGAGGTCTTGACCATATTCCTGTAGTGAGGTCATAGGACTACAGACCTGGGGCAGGCATTATGCTCCCAGAAGAGGTTTCAGGTCCTGAAGATATTTTAAAGACTCTCAGCAAAAGTGAAGCAAAGAAAAATCTTAACTAGGGACCCCATCATATACTGGCTTTCCCCCATTTCTACACACTTTAAAGACAGTTTAAAGATGGAGTCCCATGGACTTAAGAGTACTTCTGCCAGTTGTCTGTAGGACTCTGCCTTTGAAATGTCTTTAAAGTGTATAGAAATTGAGGTTTTTTTGAGTTGGGGAGCAATCTACTCCAAACTTCACAATTTGCATAGAAACATATAAAGGTGCATATTTTGCAGTACAACAACAACAACTTTATTTTTGTATCCCACCTCCATCTTCCTGGGCAGCTTACATAGGGCACAACATGCAACTTTAATGGTAATTTTAAAAATTATTTGTTTTCTTTAGGAAATATGCAATTTTGATATATCACTACTTTGTTGTATCTATATATTTTTTCTTTTGGTAGACCTGTATATCATTATTTTCTTTGAAATTCTGTTTGTACAAAGGACTTTAAAGACAAACACAAAAAGTCACACTACCCCCCCCCCCAAAAAAAAAAAAACCCAACACATCTACAATGTAGTCAGGACCCAGGTCCCATTATAGACTGCTAGTACTTTGTATTGGATTTCTTGCTTCTTTTCTACAGAGGGCAGGAGTAGGTTCAAAGTAAAGTGGGTGAGGTAGTTGAAATTGTTACCAATGTGATCTCCCAACTGTACAAAGCAGAGCCCCATTCTATACTATCTACACAGGAGTAAGACACTATACAGCAGCATTCAAGCATGCAAAGCACAGGTGGATTGTATATGCGCGCCTGCTTAGGAAAAAGCCCCAGAAGAAAACTTCCTGGGGTGCAAACTAAAGCTTTGAGATCTAATTCCATTATTCTAATACACAGATAAAGTTACCTTTAATACTTTCCAGTACCATCCAACTGTCCAAATTTGGCAAGGAGGGTCTCAATTAATCCTCTGGTATTTTGACCATACAACTTTCACAATCCCCTGACATTGGCCATGGGGCAAAAGATGATGGGAGTTCTAGTAAAACAACTAGAGGCCTAAGATTCCTCACCCTTTAGAGGTCTTTGTTTAATTTAAATATGACCTGTACTTTAGGCCCCTTCTACATAGCTGAATAAAATCCCACAATTACTGCTTTGAAATGGAATATATGGCAGTGTGGACTCTAATAACCCAGCTCAAAACAGATGTTGTGGGATTTTCTACCTTGATATTCTGGGTTATATGGCTGTGTGGAAGGGCCCATAAAGAAAGAGAGAAAAAGAAAGTAGTTTCTAACAAGGACTGTAAAGTCTTGGGCTAATAATTAAGGGATACAAACAGTCAGGAATTTGTTTTAATTTCTGATTGAATTTCTTTTGCATTCCCTCATTATTATCGTCCTGTTACTTGTCGAACATAACATACAAGATGACATGCCTGAGTGAAGCTGTTGTGTGCTTTACCAAAAAGATATAATTTGTTAAAGATTATAGCTAGGATTGTGTAAACGTAGCACTGGAAGAGAAAGGCATCTGTGTTTTAGAGGGGTGTTTCTCTAACGAAGTACGTGGTTCATTTGCCACATTGACGTCAATGCATTTTCTTTCTTTTTGATCTCCTTTAGATTCCACTTGTTTGATAATTATCAAGCAATAACCAATCTGTCCCTTTTTTTGGCAAAACACTCAAGTGTGTGATGGTGACTTCACATTTGGTATTTCTAAATGGTACAATTTTTTTGAATTCCTTTCTGTTTAGTTTCTGAATTTAATTTGTGAGTATGAGTCTCAAATTGTAGGAGATATATTGCATTTTACTGTAGCTCTAAGATCCACCTACCAGAGGCTGTGTAAAGTAGTGACTAACAAGTCAGTTCGTTCAGTCGTCTCCGACTCTTCGTGACCTCATGAACCAGCCTACGCCAGAGCTCCCTGTC